TCTAATCCAAAAAGTCAATTAAAGACACCTATGAAGTCAAAGCAGCGTCTAAGAAATTTCTAAGAAGCTTCTATATTAAATATTATAGAATTAACTTACTTTTACCTACTTTTACTTACTTCTACCTATTTCTATATGTAATTATTAGCTTACATGATTATGGCCATGACAGATATTAATAAACGCACATGGGAGCTAGTAAAGAATCTTGCAAATGCAACAAAGGCGGTAGAGGCTTTTCATCAACAACATCTATCAAAATCAAGATGAAAACCTTCTTTATAGAAGAATCAAGATCTAAGCAAGATAACATTCTACTTTCAATCTTTGTTTGTAGCTTCTTTGTAGTTGTGACGCTAAGGAGATGGAGAACCAACAACTAGTGGATTTGACTCAAGAGCCTTCATTTGCTGACCTACTGGACGAGACATTACGATTGTCACAACCTTCAAGATGACGCAATCGAGATGAAGATCTTCAAAAATGACATGTTCTTCCTCAAATAGATGGCAAGATACAACGCGTTTAGTATCACGACCTTGGAAGGAACTCCCGATGTTTGGAGATTTTAGTAGAAGTAGAAACAACTCATGACGGTGTTTCAAATGTTTCATTCGAAGGAAGTTATGAAGGCCTCAACAACGATTAAATAATTGGGTGGTCTTCTCGTCCTGGTATGGGACACTAGCGATGGTTGAAAGGTCCTATCAATCATCTTTGAAAAGAACAAAGTTCAGAGTATGTGGCGAATACAATTCGTCGCATCATAGATTTCCTCAACATTTAATGACCGCTCCTCGTGGGACTCATTCCTAGAAGCAAGAGGAATATCATAGACATACGCATGTAAGCCAATAATTACATATATAAATAGATAGAAGTAAGTAAAAGTAGATAAATATAAGTTAATTCTATAGTATTTGCTATAGAAGCTTTCTAGAAGCTTCATAGACACTGCTTTGACTTTATAGGTGTCTTTAATTGACTTTTTGGATTAGAAACGTGGTCAACAAGTTGGCCATGTGCCACACATGTTGTTAGCTTGAAGATTAAGCTAATTATATTGCCAACATGTAGAAAAACTTGCCTTGTAAGTCAAGGCATGTGTCCTACAAAGTCAACACATATTAGAGATCCTATAGAACGTTGCCACATAATCCCTAATTAGATAGTATATATAGAAACAAGAGTGAAGCCTTCTTCATTCTTGTCAATTCCTTTCTTGCTTCCAGTCTAGTTTCAAGGGTCTTTAGTTTTCTTGGTTTTTGGCAATATCCATTCCAGTTTCTTTCTTAATATACATATCAAATTATTTTTATTTTGTCATCTTTCTTTGAGAGAAGTCTCACTTGTTTATTTGTTTTTATCATGTTCTTGTCTTTGACAGATATATCAAATGGATGTAAAGATAATTTTTTTGAATTGAAGGTTAGAAGATGACCTCTATATGGATCTACTTCAAGGATTTGTTGAAGAATGAAAACGACATCTTATTTGTAAATTGAAGAAATCTTTATATTGGCTTAAGCAATCACGAAAGATATGGTACTAATGTATTGATATATTCTTTGTGAATAAAGGTTTTGAAAGAAGTAATATTGATCATTCTATATATAAAATTTTAATATAAATTTATATTAAATGTTATCTTATGTGTTGATAATTTGATCATCTTAACTAATACCTTGAAGGTGATGGATTGGTTGAAGGCAAAGTTAGAAAAAGAGTATAAGATGAGTGATTTAGAAGAGCTTTATTATTATTTAGAAATGGAGTTTGTAAGAAATCATATTAAGGAGACCATTACAATGAATCAAAGTAAGTACATTGAAGTTGTGTTGAAATGATTCAACATAGAAGAGTGTAAGTCTATAGATACACCTTTGGAGACCAATTTGAAGTTGATGAAGGTCATGGATGAAGAATTTGTTGAAGTTGATGAAGGTCACAAATGAAAAGTTTGTTAAAGTTGAACGTCAAATACAAGGTGTTTCATATAAAACAACAGTATGTTCACTTATATATGTAATGGTTGGCACAAAGATGGATCTTGTATATGCAATGAGTGTTGTAAGTCAATACATGGCAAAAGCTGAATAAATCTATGGGACAACCATCAAAAAGATCATGAAGTATTTAAAAGGCACTTTGCATTTCAAATTGCGCTTTGGAGGTAATAACATTATTTTGCATGGTCATTATGATGTGGATTAGGGTGGAAATGCAAATGATAGAAGGTCAACAACGAGATATGTATTCTTTATTGGAATAGGAACTATTTTATGGAATTATAATAGACAACCCTGAATTATAAGGTTAATAATGGAGGGGGAGTACATGGTAGCAAGCATGGTGTAATGGATGTAATATGGCTAAGACAACTTTTAGAAGATATTGGAGTAGTACAAATAGAAGCAACTTCAATAGAATATAATAATCAAGGATGTCTTATATTTACAAAAAAATCCAAAGTATCATTCAAGGACCAAGTACATTGACATTCAACATCACTTCATAAAAGAGAGGATTAAAATGGAAGTAATTGATATAAAGTATTATGCAATAGAAGATATTCTTGCTGATTGTTGAAAAAGATATAAATAAAGAATAGACATCACATGTTGATAAAGGTATTAGGATTGAAAGCCTTTGACTAATAGCAAATTGAGAGTCTTAAAGTAAGTAAATAAAAATAAAAGTAGAATAAGTTATATTATAGAGGATATTACCTTAGATAAGTTGCTATTGATTAAAAAGTTGGCTCTTGGTATGTAAGAAGACTAAAAAATAAGGTAGATGAAGGGACAAAGGATCTTAAGGATATAAAGGATATGACAAAGATATATTCTTATAGTAGATAAAATAGCTATAGATAGTCTTGATAGAATGTTGGATGGGTGTATTCATCAAAAGATAGAAGTTGTCCATTAAGGCAGCAACCACAACTTATAAATAGCAGATGTTGGAAGTGAAAGATATCTTATTTCATATTCTCTTCGTGAGCAACCTTCCTCATCTTATGTGTTGGTGACTTCAAAGTTATTTTTTCTTTAATACATACTACATGATTCTTATAAAGATCAACTTGTGAAAATAATGAAACAATAGGAAAGTAGAAGTAAGCATTGAATGACATATCTACAAGCAAAACTAATCATGTGCACATCCACAATGAAAACATAGGGTCACTTGAAGTATTTGCTTTTAGAAACAAAAAATTGTTTAAAAGCAAATTTCATATGTTTAATCCAATTTTGTCATTAGGTTTCAAAAAAAGCTTGGAGAATTGAATCAATTTTTAGTCACAACAAATCAAGTTAGTACTAGATGCTTTGAAAGCATAGGCAAGAAACCTCACCATTACATTTGATGGCACCATTTACATCCATAATCTCAATATATAAAATTCAATTTGAACTCAATAAGTAACTCTCAAAACAAGAAATGATTCCAAAAAAGAAAAATTGAATAGAAAATAGCTTTCTAACTTGTTTGTAAATTATTAGGCTAAAAGACTTGTATGACTTCCAATGTTACAACTAAAAATAGTATATTCTTGAAAATTGGTGTATGGTCCTATAGAATTGTGGTGGCCATTGATAATTGCATTTGGCTATCTAAAAATTTGAAGAATTAACTTTAAAATGTGATTTTTTTAGAGATATATATATATATATATATTGATATAAATACATACAAAGAGAGATTACAAACCTTGCATGAATGCCATTCCACACTAAAGATAGTTGGCTAAGGTTGTTTTGAGATATCCAATATATCAGTGAAAAAAAATTCATGTGTATATATGCATATATACATATATAAAATTTTGTACAATCTACAATAAAGTATTTAATTTTAAAAGATAAAATAGAATACAATTGAATTTGAAAAGCCAACAATCTGAAATCACATGCATGTGAATAAAAGAATGGTAAAAGGAAAAAAAATCAAATCCATTCTCCTATATAAGTCCTACACAATTAGATGTTTTGAATGATTTGTGCTCTATCTTACAATATCAAAGCTTTTCTTCTAATGCAAAGCAACCTACACGTACAATTTTATTACAACTTTAACATCACTAACAGCACATCACTAACAGCACTAAGTATGACAATTTTCTTATTTAGATGTTCACCATGCGCTGAATGAAATCGACCGACAATACAATGATATTGACAACCGAGAGCTAGTAAGTATGTGAAATATTATGGCAAATAACATTCCAATACCATGTGATTAACTATTCCTAACATGTAGTAAGGTATGAAATTACAATAAAATCTTAGGACACTATTTTATCAAAAACTGGAATAGAAACGTATATTGATAATATCACCAATCGATCACAATCTCTTGAACAATGTGACATTCTATTGTTCTTGGTAAATGCAGAATAATGAGTCATTACCACATGTTTCTTTCCTTGAAACTTCCTATAAAGATTAAACAAAACCATGAGTAGTTTTCATAGAAAGAGCTAACAAGGTGGTACGCCCAGAGTCTTCAGATTGTTGATTACATTAGTCAGCTCTTAAAGACCTATGGTACAGGTATAAGTTCAACCAACCAAGTACCCAAGGCAAAAATGCGTATACCCTATCTCAAACCAGACAACAAGATTGTTTTATGGATTGGCCTCCAGCATAGTACAAAGCACAGCAAGCACTGACTCTGTTCAACATCTGGCAGGTGTGAGGAAATTTTAACAAAGAATCTTCATTCAATCCCACGATCTTAAAGCTACAGTGGACTCTCTGGATATAAGGAATCGGTCATTTCTGAAAACGTGGGAAGATATGCAGACAGCATCATAGGAAGATGCAAGACGTGCAGACATACGAGAGAGATTTAAGAGTCGTAAACTAACATAATACTTCTCGACAAAAGTACCCAATGATGGGTCTACACGGAATATTAGGAAAGCCACAACAGCTGCAGGACTTGTAGTAGAATTCACGAAACGACATACAGCGGATGGAAGCAAGGAAGCAAGACAAGGTGAAAAAGTACTGACGTACCATTAGGTAACTCAATTATGAACCACAGGAACATCTTGCTGGAAAAATTGTTTTGCTTGAATCGTTCGTCTTGCATGAATGGCTGGAAACTAACGTTGAACAAGAAAAAACCTAAGGTTCGCACCTCCTTACCAAGCTTTTTATCACATTACTAAAAAGAATCAAGGATAAATGTAGATAAATTACCCATGATGAAACATCATGACATCGTATAATACAAGGAGAGTGCCATCACTTCTGCCGCTCTGCGGAATGGCCGGAACAGGAATTGCCGTTTGAATCAGAAAAGATCCGCGGGTGCCACCCACTCAAATGCCTTGACCACGCTTCACCAGGAACGTTGAACCCGCGCCATGTGCTCATGCAGAAAGAGTAGTAGCCTGTTCATCTCCCCCTCTTTCGAACAAATAATGTGCCAACTCAAGTAGCTTGGTTGGTATCACACTGTAGCCCACCTCGACATTTCAGACCCAGTTTCACCCCTCCCTTGTGCCCATCAGGTCAATCCGTTTGCACGTCTCTTCACTTGCTACCAATCTCACATATAATCCTGCTTGAGCGAAAGTTGTAGGTATCTACATTACGGAAGTTTTATCAAACACTCGGACCAAGCAGCATCACATGTCTGTTTTACGATCAAAGAGTAGATCTTGAGATCCTTCGTCCAAGGCATCAGATGTCCATGTAATGGGCGAGCCTCCTCAATCCTATACGTCGGCTTTCATCTTTCACCCTTTGCCTGGAGCTGCTACTCTGATTTTCTGACGGTACCTGGTCCTTAGTCATGGGCTTGCTAACTACAGCACCTGGTTTAGTTTTGATTTCCTTCACTTCTGCGACTCCACTAGAATTTGCAACAGGCAACAAGCCTCGCTTCACTAATAGATCCCGGTGGTATCCCTGAACAACAAAATTGCGACGTTCACAATCCTTGAACATGCTAACCCGCCACGGCACAGCAGCCATTAGCTTGTCACGGACAATACCAAAGCTAAGCTGATCCCGGGACGTAAATCGATCTACCTCGTTAAACCAGAGGCATGACATCAGATTGGCAATTGGAGTATGCTCACGAATGATTACGCATCCCTCAGGAACATCGCTCGTGATGGGAAGCTTCGCGGCGGAGTATGGAGTTAGCCCTTCTTTCTTGTAAAAGTCTATTTGCGAATCAATAGACTTGTTGTTGTATTTGGCAGCAGCTTTGTTGGCTTCAGCTTCCATGAACACGTCAAATCTCTTGTAATGCTGAGAGATGGCAAAGGTCTCATTGGTGCGCCATAGAAACCTCTCTAGAATTTTATAAGGATCTTGCACTAGCTCCAACTTCCCGTCAACCCAGATAGAGAAGCGCACATTCGGAAACAGCCTGTGTAGCAACAACTTGGGAATTTTGCCAGTCCGACGAGCATCTCTGTACGGTAGATTGTGCACAACAACGACACGCCACAACCCTACTTGCTTGGAGCTCTTGAAATTATCGTAATCATTAAGCGATGCTTCGGTCTCCTCATCCACGAACATGAAGAAACACACCGACCTCTTAGACTCATCGGTGATGTTTTTCGGTTGTTGCAACTGATCGTAATTCCCAAATATTGCTGATGCCACCACAACTCCCCGACAAGCGAGCATGGCCTCCCGATTCTCCTCGTCAATATCGTATCCCGTTCCTAGCCCTGGCGTCGGCCCCTTCACAAAGCCACAGTGCACTTTCATCTCCTCCCGCACGTCAAAACTCGCAGCCCGTTCCTCCAAGCTAGGGTAACCTCCGAACGCTGACCCGGGCGCCCCAGACGAGGGTCGCTTGGCAGCTGCTGGATCGCTCATGAAGCTCAAGCGCTTCAACACAGGCGAATCATACTTCCCCTCCACCGGCAACTGCGACAAGGCACCCTCCTCATCCAAATAACAAACAGGACACGGTCGCGGGCCTGTCCGCTTGGGATCCGCCGGGGGTGGGGGCACCGTATATCCATCACACGGATGCGGATTCAACACCTTCCGTCCGACCTCCGGCAACACCATCACCTTGACGCGCTTCCCTATCTCACTTCGCAGCAGATTCGCCGCGTCCCCGCTCTCTCTCACGCTCCCCTCCACATGCTGCCCAATCAAGCTCACATTGTTCAATATCATCACCAGAGACAACCCGATGAGAAGCAGCGCCGACCACATACCCGCCACTCGCCGGGAACTCATCCCGGCAAACCCCACTGAGCCCAATCCTACCCCTGCGACCACTCCTCCCATCCTCTTCTCCTTCTCCTTCTCCCCGCGCCATCGCCTCGCGCTGCCAGATTCACTCCCTATCATCCACCACAAGCGCCGCGCGGCATTCACCCCCATGGCTAGACCGCCATAGCGTCCTCGCCACTCTTCCCCACGCTCGCTCATCCCTTACCACCAATGGCTCAAAATTCCACGCCTCCTGCACCACATCCTTCCTTCCTTCCTTCCTTCCTAGCAAAGGATTGAATGATTTCCACTTCCTCAGGTCGACCACCGACCTGCGACGTTACAAGGGAAATCTTACGGTGCTCCAGTCAGGCCAGGTTGGCTTCCGATCTGAGTGAACCTGGCGCCATCGCCATCGCCATCGCCGTAGACAATAATAACATTGCACAATGGCCGCCAAGAGCTTCTTCGATAGTCGCGAGGAGAAGCGAGGATGTGTGTGTTGATTGACACAAAGCCACCTCCTTCGCCGAGTGAGTGAGTGCTTTGAAGACCAGAAGAAGAACAGCTTTGGCTTTGTTCCGATGGACTTATGGATGAATTTATAATTGATGTAAAAATAATTTATGGATGGATGAATGAATGAATTCATGAAGTGTGGTGATGAGTTCGTGCTGGATGAATAACTGATGAAGGGGACGCTTTTCCATCTATCATTCATCCTTCACGCTCTTTGGATTTGCATCGTAGTGCTGAATGCAGTGTTTGGGTTTTTGCGGTCAGTTTGGACTTCTTCGGGCAGCCTCCCACCCTCTCGAACGCTCTGCCCCGAATGAAAGTGGGCCCACACTCGATATCTTTGTTTCTTACTTATTTTTGTTCACATTTTTGGGTTTTGATGTCCATGAGAATTTTGAAATTTTGATTTCGAGCCCGTAAATCAATGAGTATTTAATTCCGGTGATGTAAATTTTATGGTTGAAAAACATTTTTTGTTGATGATTTACTTTGTGAATCTACCTATAGATAGCGACGATTTTAGAAATTATTTATTATGTATTGAGCTTCTGTGCCATTTTTATATTCTTTGATCTTTTAATGACCGCATCATATTAAATTTACTCATAAGTTATTAATTTTTATTTTATTCTTATTTTTTCGAACCTAGCTATAGATCCAATTCTGATGGTTTTGAAATATTATTTAGATTTTTAAAACTTTCAAAACTACACCTGTCATCGAATTATTAGTGAATTTTTTCAAAAAGTAAAGTATATTTACAAGTTATCCAACAAACATATCTTTAATGAATTCTAAAACATAACTACTAGAATCTCAAAACAGATCATTCTTCCATCTCAAATTGTTATTTACACATAAATTAGTTATTTTAAAATTTTACAATTAAACCATTCGTTTTATAAAATTCTTTGACAGCAATGTATGCAATCACCACATTTTGACTTTTATAATTCCAACACTACGATAATTCCAGCTATACATAGCTTTGCTGCAGTTTCCCACTCCAATATGCACTAAATAAATAAAATTTCATACAGGTAATTTCATTAGATTCAATCATTAGATGTAAATGTATTTCAAATCTGTATTGCTTTGTAAAATCCAATGTTTGCCACTTCTTCATTCTATCTAAACCATAGGACCAATGTCATAAATCTTCATAATTTGTTTTTTAGCTAGCAGTATAAAATGATCTATGTCTTTGATTCTTATGACTTTCCAATGCTTCTAAACCACCATAATATTGAATATTTGAATTTCATGTAAACCAACATTCCAACATTGTTCAGATATCGAGAGTAATAAATCCACGTATTCCTGAAGACAAGTATTATTTCAAACATATACATTGTGAACTAACACCATAATTCACTGAAAATCAAGCAATAAAAATCAAACATAGTCAGAATTCTACTTAATTTCTGAAGAAGGTGGAATGAACTGCCAATTCGACGAATGCCGTCGCCTAAGTCAATCCATAAAACGGATGAATTATGTTCATCCACAGGGTTAAAGCAGCAGGGCGGAGCAGAAGGACCCGGGATCCTTCCATCCAGCCGACGATTCCAGTGAGGATGAACACCTTTCGAAGCCAAGCGAATACGGTTGAAGCACCATTATTCATCCAATGGTTCCACAACCACATATTCATATTTTTTAATTGGCGCACGTGGAATATCTTTCGGGTCGGAATTGGATGGACCCGTGCCTCATGCCAGCGACTGGAATCTTGACGCGGTGATGCGACAATTCGAGAACTGAATCTAATCGGACACTTTGACTCTTCGCGGCGTGGTAATAGGCCCAGCTTTCGCTCCTTCCACGAAGAAGGTTGGTTGGGAGTCCATATTTGGAAATAATGGCAGTTGAGTTAATTTTTATTATTTTCTTTTTCGTGGTGGAAATGCATGGTTTTGCTGGTCATCCCCTCCAATTTCCTCCAGGAAATGAAAGGGGCCGTTAATTAAAGTAAAGAGAGAGACATCAAGACCCACCTACTCCGGTGTCCTTTCTGAACCCTATGTGAATTGGCGAAGGTGCTTGGTGTGACTTATGTAATGGAAATTCCACGTCAGCATGATTTTGATGTGTGCCACAATCTTTCTGTTTTGGTCGAAGTTCTAATGCAATATCAAAAGGTTTTGCAATGCTCTGGGTTGTGTTATTAAAGTAAGAATGGGATCTGAGTGACCCAACAATTACCTGAGAAATATGTGGCTTTTCTCTTGATATTAAGTAATATGAATTATTAAAAATCAACAAAAATGCGTTGTGGTCTTAGTTCTGTAGTTCTAGTCAGAGAATCGGTCCCAAATAGAGGGACACTTCCTCACTGCTCATCTGACCTATTATGATTACTACTTTATGCTTTTATTACCATTCCATATAAAATTTTAATTCAAGCAATTCAAGACAAAAATTGCTTTCAAAAAAACCCCAGAGTTCTATTTTAACAACATCAGTACTTAAATCAATACTAATAAAGACTTTGAGTACTTCTCCTTTTGTAACCAAAGGTTGCAACGAACCCACTCTCCACATGATTCCTACAAGTAGTCCAAGCTGCCCGTAGTTTCAAGGCAACCTATTTCCGGGCCATGCTCGTCACATAATTAAAAATGAACACCAACCACTCGCTTAGAACGAGATCTACAAACAATGCAAACGCTTTCATTTTGCTCAAATTTGAAAACCCTAACCGCTCTCATTTAAAATAAGAGGAAAAGAAGGAGAGAAATTCTTTTTTAACTGCTCCAATAATGCTGACCCAATCCTGTGAGGGCCTTGTGAAGCCCTAAAATTGGAGGCCGGCGATGGGCCCCTATTTTACCCCTTCTTTTTGGTTCCAAAGGGGCTGGTAACTGTGTGGCAGATGTACCAACTCCTCAGGGAGGTTCTCCATGGGTTCCCCGAGTGTAGCAACCAAGCCTATGGCTCTCTCAAAAGCTAATACATATGTTCACACTGCATGCTGCCGTGGTTAGTTCTTTTGTGGGTGGATTGGTAACATAGGGTACGTGTGTCCCCATCTTTGAACTTAGGTGGGAACATGTAAGGAGGTTTGGGAACCTACTGTGGTTTGTCATCCATAAGTCCAACTATCTGTTCATCGACATGCTAGCTCATTCATCCTGAAGGTCTGTGTGTGTGTTTTTATTAACCCCTTTCCCTGTTCGCTCAGACGAAGTGGAGGAGACCATTCATGAGTTTATTGACCATCCAGGAGCAGTTCTAATACAATGTTTGCTTCATAAATACATTCCAGGATTTTATATTCAATTTTTTTCACGTTTTTTCAGGAATGCATATTAAAAAAAAATTCTTATGATGTATGGGAGCAGAAATATATATATATATGAATGCAATAAAATTATTTCATGTTGTTGACATATGATAGAATTATGGTTAATGCTATATTGCTTGAAAACCATATTTTAATCATATATATGTATTACCAAATATTGCAAAACTTAATATGAAATAATATTTATTTTTGGTAAAAATAATACATCTCGTGTGTACATATACTTGAATCACTACTAGTAGCTTAATTTAATACGTTAAAGATGCACATCAATGTCGAACATTTTATATGTAGCAATCCTTGAATGAAATTATATGTATATAAAAATGTCATTTTAAATTCCATAATCTACACTAATCATTTGATGCTTAATCATGTTTTGTGAACTCTAATAAATACTTAACATGTAATTTACAACATTAATTACATGAATAATTGTGCATAGATAATTTAAAACTGATTAACATGTGTTGATTGGGCAAAACAATGTATTTGAAAAAGTAATGTGAGTAAATTAAATTAAAGTCTATCTTTATAAGAAAATACACAACATCTGCATATGTTCACTGCACATGTAATGTAACTATTTATATTTTATACGAGGTTTTTAATACTTGAAATATTGTATCACATGTGAGGCGAAATGAACTAGCTTATTGTTATTATATTATGGAGATATATTTACAAACAAGTGGAAGTTTGTGTCATTCAACCTAAAAATAATAAACATTTACTCATTTAAATTTTTGTTTTTTTGATTATGTATTATTGAATTTAATGCAAGGTTAATAATTTAGTTGATAAAAAGGCAAAAGAAAAATCATGTGCTTACCAATTAGAAGGCTTGTTTAAGTCTTTTGTATGTCTTAATATGTTGCTGTAATTCATAACATATATATATTATAAAAATGGATAATATCCATGAATGGCATTAAAATTGTATATAGTAGCTTTGTGAATTTTATTTTATTTTATATTATATTATTATAGATAATATTTATTGTAGATATAGAATCGATTTGAAATAAATGAATATCTTACAGAGTTTAAAACATCTTTACAAAAAAATTCAAGATTGCAAATTCATGAGTGATAAGAGGTTCCATGTAGCTACAAACACTAAGTTATTTTGCCATATCAAATCTCAAACACTATTGCGTATTGATATGTCTGACTACAATTTAGATAAACACCGAGTACTATGGGATGCCAATGTATCTCAAACAAAAATGCAAAACAAGAGACAATTATGTTGCATTCCATGGATTTAGAAAGGTATAAGTCAAAAGCATACGACACATTCCCCTATATTTCATTCTTATCAAGCAGTTTTTTACCACGGTGGTGTCATGAATCAGGCAGGTTGTAGAAGTCAGCCTCGAACATCAATAAGTCTGCTTGTGTGTTTCTTGAATTGAGATTAATTGTCAGAGAAGCAAATATAGGTCACAATGTTACTGCTGTGATGCACTTCTCTAAGGAGGTTCTCAAATGAATTAGCCACCTACTTTACTCGGCGGCATGTCTCTGACAGGTTTAGCTTCGCCTTCCCAATTCATAAATAGAAATATCAAATCCAATGATATCACTTTGAGCTTTCAAGGACCAGAATCCCCTAAATATGATTGGTTTACAGAAGAATACACCAAGAACTCTAAATATTCCAGTTTATTTTTTGTTTTTGTGAACCACAACAAATCTGCCAGCGTTTGTTCAGATTACTTGACTTGATTCCGAGTTAGCGAAGGCCACAACAGTTTGAATAGATAAAATGGAGGGTACGTATCAAGGAGGGTTGTTAAAGAATTCGGTGAATACGTACTGAAAAACATGGCTCCTCGCTACCTGAGTAAGCTCATTCATTCATCAGACAAGCCTATCAGTATCATCATTCAGGAACTGTTCCAAGAAGAGTATTCATTATTAAGTATGATCCACACGAACCCACGACTACACAATCTGAAGCAGCGCATATAAAAATGGTACTTTTTTCGGGCATTTGTAACAGAAAGCCAAGAACTCGACATTGAACCATGTCAAAAAGGTAGAAAAGAATAGGTGCTTGAAGCCATCGTGACACGTTGTAGCAATACCTAACAACGTGAGACGCACTAAAATATTCAAACCTACTCAATTAGTCTGCAACCTCATGCCCAAACCCCCGAAGTTATTATGGCTGCGATATTGTATCGGTCATTGCGGTGAATTCAAGCTGATTTGAACGCCTCGTTTAATACGGTCATTCTCCTGGTACCGCAACAAATAGCAGTAATTAACCTGGAGCCAAATTATTATCCAACGATCAGCAATACTTAACAAGCAACACATTTAATATCGAACTTGGCATACACTCCACAAGAATAGTTGTTCAAATTTTAAGAAAAAGCACAACTGTCTCACAATAGATGTGTGAGGAACTACAAGTGAAACAAAAACTACGCATGTGATTGAAAATACAGCTAATATAATAGCACTGAAAATTAACCAGTTCGAGACAATGATAAAAAACACAAATCAAGTATGATGACGGCAAACAAACCTCGAGCCGAAACAATTTAGTTGGAATCACAATTCCAGCTCCTGACGAGACGCGAAATCCAGATAAAAAGTTTCTAAGCGACCATTGGGTAGTGTTATTCCCCGTCAGAGGAACTAGATTGCCGGCGCAAGCAAAAGTGTGGGCATGTATTCCATAGCTCTTCAAAAATTGCATTGGCAAATCGAAAGAAATATCAGCGAAACCAGAAACTGCCAAATCGCCACCTAGAGTGTCCCTCTTGAGACTTGTTTCCACTTCACTGTCCACTTTGTCTGTCTGCGAGGCTGTAGTTCTACGAAGCTCATTAGGACCAACACCTCTAGTGCGAAAACCCAATAGAGCAGATGGACCCTTCAATTCACCAAGCAGTGACGAATGACCTCCCACGTAAAAACGATCACCTATTGGGGTTGCTTTCGTTTTGTATCCTGGTCCCCACGGTAATATGATACCTCCGGCAACTCCTAAATTCAACGCTGCATTCGCAAGGCCCAGTGGGATTGCCAATCTCAGCTCAACCTCCTATAAAACACCCCCCAAGGTCAAGTCTTGTTAAAACAAAAACGTAGTAAAATTGAATCCAAATGGTCTACAATGTGAATTCAATTGGTAATAGGTCATATGAGAACGTATCTCGATAAAAGTAAATCAGAAGTCACAATCTCACAGAAGTTAGAGTCGAACAATTATCCTGGGTTACATGTGAAAGTCAAGGTGGGCAAAGTTACCTGGCGTGCAAAACGTAGAAGCTTAGCATCAGGTCCCAGCCCGGCAATCTGTGTTGTTGAGATGAAAGCAATTCCCCGTCGAGGTCGGAATACAGAGTCTCTAGTATCCCTCCTGTATGTGTATTTAACTGCCGAAAGAAGACTATGGCCGAGTTGTCTTCTTACCGATTTGGAGGCACTACGTGAGGGATCCTTGAGGTCACGCCAGGTAAGGTTGTAGGAAATGTCGTGCTGATTATCACCTACTAAACCCACCGAGAATCCAGTCAGACGCTCCCTGTAGGAAGAATAACGTTGCCAGTCTTGTGTTAGGAGGGTGAGCCGGGTCGCCAAAGACGCCGGCAATCCTTTAAATCTTGGGTAAGTGACACCTGCACTAAGTTCAGAAGTTGTATCCAGGCCATAACATCCTGTAGCATCCAAAGTTTCGGCTAGGCCAGCCAGATTTTTGTACTTGACTGTCCCTTCCAGGGTCCATGCTTTTGTCTACACACAAGAACCATTCCCAATATATATATATATATATATATATATATATATATATATATATATATATATATATATATATTGTCAACGTTAAGGATATGTTTCCAACCCGCACGATGCAACGGTAGGATCTCAAACATTGACGATGTAGATGCCACCCTCAATCTTATTTAAGGTAGCAGCGTATTAAAGATCTGTCTAAAAATAATGTAAGTACGTACAATGGACAGAGGGGAGGAAGAGATTATGTGAACAAAAACCCTGAACCTTGTACCTTCACACACCACATCTGAGGAGTATACGGGACGACTTAAACACTAAGAAATATATGCAATTTAATTTATGATATAGAGTAGATACATCCATCGCTCTCATAACATAGTTCCACATCTATTAAATTCCAAGTCCTAAAATACTTATTATTAAAGCTGATACAAACAGTTCATCCTCATCATAACGTTTCTGCGTTCATGCCGAATCAACAAAGATGACCAAACCAACATTAGAATGCTTTATCCACCTTTGTAACCTCCTCTCCCCCCAAATAAAATTAATAGACACAGTAAAGTAGCTTTTAGGCATACAACATACAGCTAGAAGCAACATTTACGAGATGAACAACAACACCTATTACTTACCTCAGGTTTAGAGAACATTCCAAGGTCACCCGAAAATAGTCGTTTCACTTCTTCTACTTCAAGAATCACGTTGGCCTGAGGGAGGAACCATAACGTGTGTTAGAAGACCTTCAATTTCACATGCACAAGGCCAGGTGGTGTTGTTATAGTGCACACATTACCAGCAAGAAAAACTACGAATCCACTTCGTAACTGTGAATTGGAGCTGTGCTTAGTAGCGAGGTTCTATGAAAACTGACACTAAGTTTCCTGATTTGGGGAGACCTGATCACACCACCGACTGCTGTGGAAAATTTGAAGATTTACACACGGTTTTCGAAACCATCCGAGGGGAAGGGACAAGCGGAGAACAGGCCCTCGATCTCCCAAAGTTGAGCCTCAAAAGCCAAACGACGCGTCCAAAACAGCCTGATAGATAAAGAGGAACATGTCTAGCTGGCTATCGCACAATCCAATGCACAATTACAACACAAGGAAAAAAAAAAGTTGGTTACCGTGCCAGGGAGCTCCTGGGGTCCAGCATCCAGAGTAATCACGCACTTGTCGAAAATGCCAAGGGCTCGCAGGCGGGAATTCGCACGCACACATTCCTGGAGAAGCTCCTGCATGGTATCCACTTCCCTGAGCTCCTTCAGCTGTGCCTCGATCACACTATCCTTCGTCTTGACATTCCCTCTGATTTCAATGTCGTGCACCCGCACTTTGACAGGCTCCTTCACGAGCTTCTCCGACATAATATTCATTAAGTTCACGCTAGTCTGATCATCCACCTCCTCTTCCTCTTCCTCTTCCTCATGTCTCTGCTGCCCAGCTCCATCATCCCGATCTTCCATGTCCCACTCTCTCAGCGTCTCCTCATCATCCTCTTCCCGCCCATCCCCCGTCAAGTGATCCATAGCTACCAGGCTAGGGTTTCCCTAGCCTTTCCAACTCCTACACTCAAATAGAACCTTCAAAACCCTACCATTCGCAATTTACTTCGCAACCCAGTGTGACTTCCCGCCGTGCGCCCCTGACACTGTTTCTTCAACCGGCCGACTGGTACCGATCAGGACTCGGCCACGGCCATGCTCGCCGATGAGCTCGTCTTGAGCTCTGGCTATGGCGCCATCGCCTGCCATCGTCTTCACCAAACCTGGAGACACCGGCCCCTACCCAGGTAGAGATTGCACCCGCTCCCGGGTGTATTGGGTTTCCGGGTGCGATCTCCACCCACGTAGGGTTTAAACAAGTTACCGGGTATATAGGGCATCCCGGTAAGATCAAGGTATGTGGCTGGTTCCTGCTTCTGAAATTCTGGCGGAGGTCCAGTTTGAGTTCTTCGTTTCACATACTGTTTGACATTTTAAAAATTTGAAAATTAAACTGCTATTTCAAGTATATCGAATTCTAAATCAGGCGTGTCTATGCAATTCGGAAGTTCTGAAAAAAATTAAAAATTAAAAAAGGAAATATAAAACGAATGAAAAGTTTAAAACTTCAATTCATGGTTTCAACATTAAAACATGTGAAAGATGCATTATTTTAATCCTAAATATTGCTAAAAGAATTTAGATTTCTTGAAAAAAAGAAACTCAAAATGTGAGGTCATTTTGTATTTTGAAACCTCTTATAAAAATAATGTCTAGAAAACAAGAGAAAAAATTGTATTTGTTGGTATAGTGAGTTGTATATTTATGATGCCTACAATTTCTTCCTAGCTTCAAGAATAAAAAAAGCTAGTTATCATACTTAAGAAACCTTGATTAAATAATCTTGGATCAACATATGCTGTTGATTTCACTTCTTAAAATATAATTTCTGTAATTACAATTTGTTTTTTTTTTATTAATCATGAATTACCTTTTTTTTTTTTTTTTTTTTTTTTTTTTTTCATAACATGATAAGAGAGTTTCAACAAGAAATTTAATTTTGCATACAAATTACAATAAATTTATCTTTGGAATAATAGGGTTATTTTCAACATGAACAGAAAAATATTATATCTTTTAATACTAATCTAATAAATAATTATCATCATTATTTTTTTTCAAATAAAAATAATATGCTATTAATTATGTAATTTTATATTTAGTTATACAGTTATCATTGGAAAATCTAGTATATTTGTTTCTTCAATAAAAAGATTGTCTTGAAAATGTGAACAATCTTAACGAGGACTTTGAGTAATTTTATCTTTGAACAGTGTTGAGTTGTTTTGTTTTTTGTTTTTTGTAAGTTGAATGTATAAGCAAAACAATTCTTAAATAGTCAAAGAGTGATGGTTGGAAAATTACAAGAGAATTGAATGTTTTTTATATCTACAGTTATGTTCATATTCACAATATGTTTTACCTTTTTAGTATCCAAATTAAGTCTATCGTTTGTATTTTGCAAATTGTATAATTTATTTTCTCTATTTAAATTGAATAATTTAGTTTAATATTTTAGTTTTAAAAATCTTTTACCTTTATTTTTTGTAGTACATGATAAATATATATTTTTTCTAATATTTATAATTTTGGAATAAATAAGATTATTTTTAGTTTAATGTTCTAAATCTTTAAATAAATTATTATAAATTTTAAAAGCATTTGAGGAATAAGTAAATCCACAAAATATAATGTCACACTTTCAATATCTATTTTTTTAAAATAAAAATCATAATTTTCTATTTATTCTTCTATTTATTTTGTGCATTGAGTTTTATGAAATCACAGATATATTTTAATATCAATCTTAGTTATAGTACTTTTATGAAGAAATTATATGCCCAAAAATAATTGACAAAAACTCCTGATATTATATATATATATATATATATATATATATAACAAGTTACTCTTTTAAATAATATTTATAAAAGAGATTAATGTACATGTAAGAGACTTTGAGCATCACATTTAATTAATTTCATATATTTATTAAGGTATATTAAAAAATAATCAATTTTTTTTGTAAAATGTGTAAATTAGTCAAACTAATAAAAAAAATCCCTATCAAACATCAACTGTAAAATTATAAAATAAATCCATTTAAATGCAATAGTTACATTTATTTTCAAACATGTCGTGAAAATCAAAAATAATCTATTAGAATTATACTATATATTTTTTCTTAAGAAAAACATATGTTAAAATATTTAAACTTACATAAATCCATTTTCTTTAAGGAACAATAAGTTTACTTTATTGGTGTAATAACATAATGTATTTTTTAAATTATTTTTAGTTATATTAAGAAAAAACTCATAATTAGATTATTTCGAAACTATTTTTAAAAATATACTTTTTAAACCTGAAATAATTTCAAACCAGAAAAACTACTTCAGCATTCAAAAAATTGTATAATATTATACAATTTTAAAACAATGTATAACTAATTTTGTCACAAAACTTGCATCAATGACATCTTAGACTATACAATTTTGGCTGTCAATGACTTTCATGTGTTCAAATTAATCTTACGATATTAGAAAATTTCGTGATGTTTTAAGAATTATTCATAAAAAAAAACTAATGAAAAACTTTGAAACTCATGTGTAGTTGGTTTGCTAAAGAAGACATTTTTTATTTTTATTTTTTATGATTAGGGCTTAGCATTAGTCCGTGACGAAACGTCATGACGATGACGACGAAGATCCTCAGAAGAAAAGTTCTGACGACAACAAAGAAGATCGTCGGACGAAACGCCATGACGACGACGATACACAGACGAAATTTTTTTTATTAACTTGATTAATAAAAAAATAAAAATCTTATTGGTTGCAACACAAATTGCATAATATTTTTCATATATAGATCAAAAATCTACCAAAAACAATTGTACACAATTAGTAAAAATATATTTCTTTCAATCTTCTTGATTTACTCCAAAAATAATCAATATTCACTAATATATGCAATAATCTGACTCTTGACTATATAATAGTACAATCACCAAAAATAATATAAAAAAATCATGTGATTAAAGATTTTGTGCCAAAATTAAGTCTTAGTTTCTATCAAGTCTTAATAAGGTGACTTCTCCTTTTACCAATGTATAGCATGAAAGGATCAAAATATCTTTAAAAATATTATTTATTACATATTAAAAAGTGAACAACATTATATGCTTTACAATTCTAATAACTTGTTACTAATATCAAGTAGAATAATATTAAACTTGTCAACCAATTTTATTACGATTTATAATATAAAAAAAGAAAGTTGATGTTGAACTTATTTGATTTTTAAACATTGAATTAATTAATTTACTTTGCTATAAAATGCAACAATTAGCTTTTTGAATTTCAATTTAAGAGTTGTACAAGTAGGTCTCATTTTTTTTGTAATTCAATGGCAACACCAATATCTTTTTAATATTTACATTTAGAAGAAAAAGACATGCAAATTGGCACAATATATTTTAAATCTCATATTAAATAAGAAAAGAGTGATGTTATCAAGAAGGATTTTACTTATATTTTTATGCCATATCCATTTCTAGCAATAAAAAAAATTCAAGTAATATTCTAAATCAATATCAATTTTGTTAAGTTATTTCTTAAAAAAAAATTCTTCCAAAGTATTGTCTTTATGATTATTTAATTGATCTTCAAAAAGGAATACAACTACTATTTGGATTAATCTACACTTTATCATAGAGTGAATTGGCTAAATTCAAGAAATACATTGATGAGAATTTAGCTAAGCACTTCATACACTATTCAATATTTACAAAAAGAGCTTATATCTTGTTTGTGAAGAAAAAAAAAGGTTACTATGGATGTGTGTAGTTTCTTGAAGGTCCAATAAGATTACCATTAAAACTATGTATCTTTTATCTTTGATATTATGACTTTTCAATCAACTAATTCAAAATAAATTCTATATACAAATATATCTACAAAGAACATACAATTTGATATGTACTAAAGAAGAAGATAAATAAAAGACTATATTTTGAATAAGGTATAGGGATTTTAAATACAATGTTATTCTATTTGGACTCACAAATGTACAAGCTACTTTTTAATATGTAATAAATGATTTTTTTAAAAAATATTTAGATGATTTTATTGTTAATTATATAGATGATATTTTAATATATTCTAAAAATATAAAATATAAGCTTTATATTTTTTATGTGTTATAAAAACTTAAAGATATAAGATTATATGTTAAGATAAAGAAGTACGTATTTCAAACAATAAATTGACTTCTTATGATATATTATTTCAAATGATGGCTTTATAATGGATTCGAAGAAATTTTAGACTATCATAGATTGGAAGATTTAAAAAATAGTAAAAGATATTTAATATTTTTATTAATTTTTTAATTACTATTAAATCTTTTTTAATTTTTTTTATTTTTATTGTAGCTTTTTTTATACATTAGACTTGTAAAGACAAATTTGAATAGAATAAAGAAGCTAAAATGATATTTGAATCTTTAAAGACAACTTTTATTTCTATACCAATCTTCTATTATATTGACTTTTTTATGATATTTTTTATAAAAATAGATGTATTAGACTTTATTTTGGATGCAAAATTATTTTGAATAGGAAAAAATAAAAACTTCATCTAGTAAATTTTTATTTAAGAAAATTTTCAATTTTTGAAATTAACTATAAGATCCACAACAAAGATCTTCTTGCAATTATATAATTATTTTTAAAATGACATCATTATCTAGAAGGTACATTTGATGTAAAGATTATTTGCACAAAATATAAGAACTTCAAGTATTTTCTATCAATATGCATATTAAATTATCAAGAAGCTTGTTAGAACATGTTTATATCAATATTTGTATTCATTATCACTTATTGATTAGAAAAAATAAAGTTTGTCAAATGTTCTTTTTAAATAGTCTTATTTAGTGCCAAAACAAAGAGATGCAATTTTTGATCAGCAACATATTATTTTTTTGAAGCCAAAGAAATTTCATCTTTGAACAATGAAATCAATATTGACTATTGATTCAACTTTTTTTTATTAAGTTCAATCAAATATGTCCTTAAATCCTCTTATTTATTATATTAAAAAAAAGTCTTCTAAATCTCATGATCCTTCTAAGTTTGAATTCAAGAATAATCTATTATATTTTGATGAATATTTGTATGTTTTAGAAAGCAAAGCATGATTACAAGCTACTTAAACTCATCATAACTTTCTAATTACATGATATTTTAGATACAATGGGACTTTTAAATTAAACTCAAAATATTTTTAGTGGTCTCAAATGTAAAAAAAAACTTAAAGACTTTATGAAATCATTTGATATTACTTTAGAATCAAAAACTCCTTATCATTGATCTTATGGACTTTTTTACCTACTATATATACCAAAAGTACCAAGATCTTTCAATCTCAAGTTCTTGAAGACCTTGAAACTTTTGGTATATATAATCATGGATCTTTCAATCTCAAGTTCTTATGACTCTATATTTGTGATAGTAGATTGTTTCATTAAAATGGCATATTTTGTACTATGTAAAAAATCCATCACACATAAAGAAACGACTAAATGTTTTCTCAATAATATTTATTGCTATTAGGGATTGCCATAGGATATTATATCAAATAAAGAAACTCAATTTGTATATAAATTTTAAAAAACTCTTTTGAGGATATTGAAGGTGGATATAAAACTATCTTTGGTTTTTCATTCTTAAAGTGATAGACAAACAAAATGAATAAATCAAATATTGGAGCAATATATGAGGTATACCATGAACTATCATCAAGATGATTAGACAAATCTTTTGCCATTAGTAGAATCCACTTACAATAATATATTACATTCTTCTATTCAATTGTCACCATTTTATGCTAATTATGATTATTATCTACAACTTGATACTTTTGACTTTACAAAACTTCATAATCATGTGGCAAAAGATTTGAAAAAATATTTATTAGAACTGTATGCCTTAAGAAGGAAAAAATAAAAAAAAATCTCAAAAATAACAAAAAATATATATAAATGCCTATTGCAAGGAATAACTTCAATAACATGTTTGCAACAAGATATGATTATTGTCTAGTAATCTCAAGACTATTTATCTTTGTAACAAGTTAAATTAGTATAGATTTAGACCATTTTTTATTTGTGAATAGATCAAGTCAATTGTATATTAATTACACCTATCAAACTTTATAAAGATTCATTTTGTATTTCATATATCTTTTTTTGAGCCATATAAGACAATGAATATATATAAAACAAAAAAACAAAAAAAAAACAAAACAAAACAAAAACAAAAACAAAAACAAATTCCACTTCTTCCTATAGAAGTAAAGAACAATTAAAAATTTGAGGTACAAGAAATTTTGATTTCAAGCAGCACTAAAATAAGTTATAATATTTTATACAATGGTTCAAATATGATAGTAATGAATGAACATGGGAGCCATTTAAGAATTTTGCAAATACAATAGGAAAGGTGAATACTTTTTACCAATAACATCCATCAAACCAAAATAAAGAGTCAAGAAAAACTTTGCTATAAAAGAATACATGTTTGATGAAGTTTATATTCCATCTTTTTATATATTTGTAGTACTGAGAAGATAAAAAGCAATAACTAATAGATTTAACTTAAAAGCTAGTATTTTTTTAGTTAGAAAATGAGACATTGAAATTGTTACAACCTTCAAAATAATATAATAGAGATGAAGACTCTCAAAAATAGATTTTTTTTTTTTTTTTTTTTTTTTTTTTTTTGAATTGATGGCAAGATCCAATGTGTTTAATATCACAATCTTAGAAGAAATTTTTGAAATCTAGTAAAATTATTGGAAGTAAGAATAATTCTTAATGGTATTCAAAAAAAATTATGTGAAGAAAATTATGAAAGCCTTAATAATAATTAAATAACAAGGTTAGCTTACTATCTTGATATAAGACACTATTAATGACTAAGAAAACTTATCAACTACCTTTGAAAAGAATATAGATTGAAGTATGTGGCATTTACAATTTGTCACATCTTAAACTTCTTCAACATGTAATTATGACTTCTTGTAGAACTTGTCCTAAAAAAGGAGGTAATATTATGGATATGCATATTTATTTAGATTAGAGGATTTAAGTAGAAGTAAATAGAAATAAGTAAATTTGATAATATATTATAAAAAAACTTCATAGATGTGGATTTTATTTTATACATGTATGTAAGTGATTGATAGGTTAAAAACTTAGCCACAAGTTGTACATATTAGTCACTTGTGTTACAAGTTGGCTATATAGCACACATATATGAAACTTGCCTTGCAAGTTAGACATATGTAGCATAAGTTGCATATGTATTGGAGATCTTATAGAACATTGTCACATAGCTCTTATATATATAGAAGAATGAGACCTTTTACACTTTTATCAATTCCTTTCTTACTTCTAAATCTAGTTTCAAGAATCTCTAATTTTTTAGTTTTTAGCAATAGCTATTCTAATTTCTTCTTGAATATGCATTTTTTTTTTTTTTTTTTTTTTTTTTTGTCAACTCTCTTTGATATATATTCTTTGAGTTCTTGTCCTTGATAGTTGAAAGAAGAGAAATTTACCAAAACGAAGAGGTCTAAAAGTGAGGTAAAGTTGCAGATTTAGAGGGAAGAAAGAAGTTGTTTAGTGGAAGGAAAAAAGTTGCACATCATTGTATGGAACCTCTCCATAATCTAATATTTAATACCCTATGTCAATTAATACATATCTTTGCAATAACTTATTTTATTTAGCACATATTTAATTGTATATATGTATGTGTGTATATATATACCTTATTATCTTTATTATTATATATTCTATTTTATATAAAATAATTTTAGAATAACAAAACATATAATTTTATTTTTGTATCAATTGTTCAATGGTTATTAAATATAAATAAATAAATGTAATGAAGTGCTTTAGTTAATTTTAAAAATGCAAGGTAAAATGTAATATCTTTTTTTTTTTTTTACAATCAACTACTTCTCATTCTTTTATGCATAAACAGAAATTATTGTTCTTAATGATACAACTTAAGCTTGATGCAATTACAAATAGCCAAGGAACATCTCTTTTAAATCAAAGTCCTTTAAATGACACCAAAATGAGGTAGGTGTGGATCTCAAAATCACGACCAAATTCTTTTACATAGACATTGATGCTAAGATTACTTGCATTTCAGTAAGGTCACAAGCTAAGCCATCTACAACATACAACTGATAAGAAAAATTCACAACACAAGGTAAAACCCCCTGGAACAAGATATCTCAGCAGCAAAACTGAAAAAAAAGAAGTGATAAATCTACGTTGGCATCCTCTGTATGAATCGAAGGCACAAACATGCAAGATAACAAACAACCTTGTTAAATCGAACCACGACATGTGAGAGACAGAGGCAAGTGCAAAACGACCCTGCTAGTGTTGCGGTGAGTAGAAGCGAGAGGATATAAGCATGAAAGAGCCTGAAGAAGAGGCGGTATCCAATCCACTCGGCACGAGGTTCACAGCCTAACAAACAGATGGGTCAGTTTATCCACCCCCTCAATTATTCATTTGTCGATTCTCCATCCCCCACCAACAGCCAAAACTGACACCTTTACACCCTTATTTCCGTGACAAAGCCTCACCGACACGTTCGTGATCCGAAGAGCTGTTTGTGGTGTCGGGGTCCGGCGACGTCGTCCCATGCCGATGAGTGCCGCCCGGTATTGCTATTCGGCGTCGAATCCGTTGCAAGCTCATGTCGTCGAAGCGTAATTCTGCCAGCGAGGAATTCGGAACCGCGAGGGTGGACCGTGGGCTAATGTCCAGCCGATCACGTATCAGGGCCGGGATGGGTCACCGAGACGACGAGGCGGATCCTGCTGTATTTTCAAGTCGGAGAAATTGCGGGATGCCTGACATTTGTTGCCTTGCCAGATGATGACGTTGAGCCGACAGCTTGGCAAGTCAAGGCAGGCAAGGCATAGGCTGTGAATGAATGAACCCCTCGAGCAAAGGTTCCCGTTATTTCGGACGCTGCTGTGCCTGCACCTTTCACTTGTTGCACGGTGGGTTCGTGTCACTGGCCCCGCTGTGCAGTTTCGTATGTTCAGTTAGTTCTGTTGTTGTTGTTATTGTTGTTTTTGTTTTTTATTTTTACTTTAATGTTGCTGTCCTGGAGTTTCGGTTGCAGGGTGCGTGTTGTGTTGGAGCGTTGTATGTTCTGTTCGGCTTTGTCGTGGCTGGCTGGAAGCCAATGGTGACCTAATGGTTTTAGTGAGTAGTATTCTCTGAAATGGAGTTTTAAGAGACCCAGCATTTTTCATAGGTTGGTGAGACGCCCCAGTCTTGAGTCGTGAGAATGAGGGAATGAGCTTTTCGCGGGGATTTGAGCTCAGTGGTCTGTTTGTTGTTGGGTTTGGTAGCCCTCGTTGCATTTCTTTGTGTATGATACATGAAATGCGTCCACCTGTAGCCTCTATCTTTTTCGACTGAGTGCGTCATTTTCGGAATGGAAAGGTCTGCTGGGAGTCCGTGTACATTCTTTGCTTTGTTCCTGATTTGAAGGTTTGTTGTTCTTGTGACAGGTTGGGTCGGCAGGCAGATTCGAGCTCTTCGATCTAGAAGGTTAAAATGAGTTCCGGTATGTAGCATACAATTTTCCTTAACTGAAATTTGATCTCTTGGGCAGATTATGTATTACATCATTATGAAGTACTATGAATGGGGTCGCTGGTTATCCACGGTTCTATCAAGATTTTTTTCTGTGTGTTCTGGAGAACAGCGCTTGTCTATTCTTGGAGATTGAATTTTTAGACATTCTGCCTTTCTTTCCGCAGGCATGCGAACTGGATGGGACGGCGACGGGGATCGGGTCCCATTGGAACGGTCGCACCACAAGGTGCGGCTCGTGCAGCTAATTAAGCATCACCTGCGGGACTGGGTGTGGATTGGGGTTATGATTGTCCTGGAGATTATTGTCTACGTTGTGATCCCCCCATTCCAACGTTTCGTGGATGAAGATAAAATGCAGGACTACAAGTACCCAACAGGTCCAGACACTGTACCAGTGTGGTCCATTGGGGTACGACTCTTCTCACTTTTTTTTCTTTTTTTCTTTTTTCTTTATCCAGTAAGTTTAGTTCATGCGTGTTGATGCATCGCCCATATCTCGTGCCCTTGTGCGCATGAGGATGGTGAATCTTTCAACTAACTGGCTCACTGTTGACAGTCTTGCAAAGGAATTACTAAGTCTTTGTTTTTGTTGAATCTAATAACCAGGTTGTGGCTGTTCTGGTTCCGTTTCTTTTCTTTGTCGCGTACTACGTCAGGAGGAGGAGTATTCGTGATTTCCACAATGCTTTTCTTGGTGGGTACTGATCAAGTGCATCCACTCCTACTGTGATTTAATTGTTCGAAAAATCGATGTATTGATCTTGTCTTTCTCATGAGAAAAAAGACGTGTCCTCTTCCCTGAGCAGCAGACATTCATACTGCATTAATCACCTGCACGCGGCTTGTCGATGCAAAGTGTTTATCGTGGAGTTGCTTTGTTTGTCGTCTTTTGATATGCTGAAGTAGAATTGAGAAGGTTTACATGATCATATAATTTGATGTGGTTCCAAATTGTATGTGTGTGACTACGATGTATGACAACGTTGTAGTTCTGTTAGAATATGGGAAATATTTTCAGAGACTTTGGCTCTTCGTCCTCATGCTGTAATGTGATGTTCTCCTGAACCCCGTTCTTGCAGGTCTTGCAACAGCGATCACTCTGACTGCACTTTTCACTGATTCCGTAAAGAACATGGTTGGAATGCCGCGTCCCGACTTCTTCGATCGATGTTTTCCTGATGGTATCGCGGTAAGACTTATTGTCGCTACTTTTTCTCAAAGGTGTTCGAATGTTAAGATAGTTACTGTTTAAGCTTGGGATTAGAGTGTGATCTGATGCATAGAATTGTGGGAATAATCGTGTGACAGGTATACACCAATGACGAGCATAGACGAGCAATTTGTCATCCCACTAACATGAAGGAGTACAATGATGGTTTTAAAAGTTTTCCTAGCGGCCATGTATCATGTAAGTGCCAGACATTTTATTTTACTAGGCTTTTTGTACGGTAAGAAGGGTGTCTTTATTTATTTAGTTAGTTATTTAGATGTCACATGCATGGTATGGGTTGAATGGCTATTGCAGAAAAGACAAATAGAATGTGAACCACAAGGTTCATGATTCTTCGAGAGCACAATTAATCGGAAAACTTCATTTTCTCCGTGCGAAGGAAATTACCGATATGTTCAATCCCTGTTTTGGAAGATATCATTATGTAGTTCTTTTCTCTTAACAATAAACAGATTGCAATTATCTTATGAATCCTGTATTGTTCCGTGGGTTTCGTCATCTTGAGCTCTATCGTGTGATATTTCAGGGTGCTTTGCTGGCCTTGGTTACTTGTCACTGTACTTGGCGGGAAAACTGAGCCTTTTTGACAAGAGAGGCTACTCTTCCAGAGTGTTTTTCGTGCTGTTTCCTCAATTGGTTGCGGTTTTGATTGCAATTTCTCGGGTGAACGATTACCAACATCGGTGGGTGGACATCATTGGTGCAGCAATCTTAGGTGAGGGCTTAATTTATCACCGTGAATCTGCATGTGATTCCTTCTGCATACAGGAGAGCACTATGATAGAGCCTGATTGAACGAGAGGTCTTGCAACAGCCAGTTGCACTGATGGCGGATGTTGTAGCCTGTTGCCGGACTCTCATGGATTCATTGTTGAAATCCTATTGCAATCCTTGACAATAATAAAACGTTCGCTTCTAATAACCATTGTTTCATGGAATACGCAGCACTTCCTATTGCATACTTCTGTTACAGGCAACATTTCCCAAGTATCTATGCCGGATCATGGGGTAAGCCTTCAAGGGTTTTTTTTGTTATGTACTCCATATCCTTATTCAGAATTTGAACTAGTTTCACAAACATGTTCTTAGCCTATTCCAAATTTACGTCAAACCTAATGTTTTGTGGGCTTCTTGGTGTTGGACAGCTGGATATCCTTTCGAATACGAACCGCAAGGAATTTTTAGTCATGGCCTTCACGGTCCTAAAGCAATTCCTTCTACAAATGCTCCACAGAACGATCTGGAAATGGGCAGAACGGACAAGAGGAGGGTGGACGGAGAATCTCTTGAAATGCAGTAGAGGACTTGGACTTGCTCTGCCCGTGGTTTTGTAGAAGTGAATTTAGATGTAGGGGCATTGAAACCCTGAAGCTTAAGATGTTCTGTTAGCGATTAAAACAAAAAAAGGAAAAAAAAAAAGCATACGATTTGTATGAAATTAGACATTGTGCAGATGTGAAGTAGAAGTCTGATAGAAGACCTCCATCGTTTCAAGCAGACTGGCCAATTTATTAGAACCTTGACACCTTGGTTGATTTAATGGATGAAACTTTTGTATGACAGGCAGAGGAGTCAGATAACAGGGGAATTAGTCGAGAGCTTTGTTCTTTTGCTCTGTATTTATTTTCTTTCATTCTGAACTACTTTTTTGTTTTATATCTTCTTCTTTTTTCTTTCTTTTCTTTCTGCTCAACTGTGGTGGAGAGGGATTGAAATTAGGATTAGAATTCCATACTAAGGCTCTATCGATTCTATGGCCTACTGTTTGCACCCTGAACAAGTGCACAGTGTCATGCATGTATGAAAGCAACAGGGGAAGCAGAAGCCTTCTTCATTGACCCACTGTTTTTGAACCTAAGACCTTGGAAAACTCCAACCATCAAAGGCTCTGGTATTGAGTCTCAATGCCTCAACCCTGGATCTCCTTTTGAAGATGGGTGTATTGCAAAGTATATGCCTCCTACAATGCACAGTGCACTTGCTCTAGGGAATTAGAATAATCTAGGCAATCTAACATAATTTGCTGTAGTGCTTCACATGACAATTCAGTTCAGTAGCACCTCCCTCAGTAACCTACAGGACTGGGGAAAATTGCCTGAAATGTGCTACTCGCTATTCTTCACATCCGTATCAACAACCCCAGAAATCACTCAAAAATCATCTGCAGACTTGTCCCTTTATCACACACCCATTCAAAGAAATGGATATAAATATGTGTTTATCTCAACATGATGCATTTTTCAACAATCCAATTGTGGAATGTTGAAGAGAGAGGAGTATGTGATCTTCAAAGAGTAACAAATTCCTACCAGTAATTTTGACATAGAGTAAATGAATAAAAAAAATGCTCATGTGGGTGGTCAAAGGGTTGGTAAACCTTTGTGTAGCTTCAGATGACACTGAGAGATCAAAATTGAAAGTTGTTGCAGCAACAAGGTCTTTGAAAATGGGGAGGCAGCTTTGAAGGGGTTGATGTGAGAGGAATGTGGGGCCATTAGCAAAGTGGGTGGTATTAAAATGCAGGCACCAAACTCATCTCCCTGTCCTGTATCACTTTGGTGTTACAAAACCCTTTGTGGCTGCTTTGGTGAGCAGCTTTTTGTGGCTGGCTTCTCCTTCTGGCCTTCTCCCTTTCTTCATTTTCACAGTGGGCTTCAAAAGAAGGGGATCCTGTTGTGGGAAAACTTGCCCAAACACACACACACACACACAGTCCAATCCAATTTTCAAAATTTTGATCCCTTTTATGACAATTAATGATTTTTGAAATTGGGTGTCCAAAAGCATACTTAGCATAACTCTAAGAATGCATTCTTTTCAAAAAAAAACTTTAAAAAAACCTTTTAAAAAATAGGATTTTATTTTTCTTTTGTGGATGATTAACTTCTTCTTTTCTATCTTACAGGAAGTTTTTGATTTGCAATTTTTAATGTTTAACTTCTTTTGTAGCATTTTCTAAGTATTTTTCTTATGTCCATTCTTTACATGTGACAATTTTTCGATAAATTTTTTGATGAGTACAAATTATGCAGTAGTAATTTAGAGATAAAAAAATGTATAAATATACCAAACTATATTAATATTTAGCTTGCACAAAGCTCTAGCTGTATTAGTAAAAAAATAATAACGATATTTTTATCATTTTAATTTTATATATATATCTGCAGTGTTTCTCCATTAATTAGTATCATCCATTGCAAGAAAAACTATTAATTATCAAAAGTTGTTAATCATAAGAGGTGGCGCATTGAAACCAAGATGGAAATCATTCTTACCATGGCCCTACAATCCTATCAGCCACTTGGCTTTGCCTCTTCCAACCATATATAGCACATAGCCTTTGTTAATTGCCTCTCTGATTTAAAAAAATCAATATATATATATATATATATATATATTTCAAGGATTAATAATTGTGCATCTAAGAACTATATAAATTATCATAATTTTAATTAATTGTTTGAAATAATATTATACATTTAGCTATTTAATGGCTTTTATTTTATTTTATTTTTTAATGTAATAATTTTTTAATAACCATAAAAATTCACATTTTCATTAAGAGAAAGACAAATAACAAATAAATCAATATGTACTCATTGTTACATTGAAATAGTTTAGATCATTCAGGAATGAATAAGTAAATAAGATTTGGAACCCATAACAATAATAATAATAATAATAAAACAAAAAAGATAGATAAATGATGGCATTTTAGTGAAAGATTTTCCCTCCATTATACGAGAAAAGTTTGACAAGCCTAATCTTGGACATGCATGCCATCACCACCTATGAGCATCAATCATATTTTTTTAGTCATTATAATCAACAACAATATTCCATTTTTTATCCATATTTTGATCAATTTCATAATTCATTGATAAATTGTAATTATCTTTGATGTAGCAAAGAATGTGTTTTATGAATTTATTGTAGGAATTTATTGCATAAATTTTTTATGGTTATTTCACTTCTCATTCATCAGTGATTGCATGCATTGCATGCAATCCATTTGGAATCCTTAAATGTTCCTTTGCTCTCGGAAAACCAACTTCTAACTTCAAATGATACCATTACTTTAATTTAATTAATTTTTTTTTCATATTTCACTGTTTGAAAAGGAATGATAGATTTGTAGTGGGTTGGAATTGGATTCAAAATGGTCTAAAACCAAAGTCAATCTATCTAATGTGCTCCAAATCTATCTTCTTCTTCTATTTCAATTTTAATTTACAAAACTGCAAAAATACCTACATCCAGTACTTGTATTTTTACCTCATAAATAAAGATCGTAAAGTAAAGGAGTCTCAATTGGGTGCTTGCACTAGTCTGAGTTATTTGATCACATGTGCAATTTGAGAGGCGATTTTTTTTTAACTCCCATTCAAGTAGTTTAAAGAATCAAAATTTGAGGGCAAGATTTTCTCACATTGTAAAATAAAGAAAATAAATACAAATTTAATGGGCAATCATTTAAATATCATTTAATGTGCATGTATGCAGGTTTCAACACATCCAGCAGTTGAGATTCTATATGACAAAGAAAGTACATATGTAGAGAAATGAACATTGCTACACAAATACCTGATTTACAGCATCTTTGCAGGAGAATGTATGAATGAATGAATAAATATATATATATATATATATACATAATTCATTATTTTCAACAAAGGCATACAATTTCAAAAAATAGTAATTGGTATGATGTAAAAATAAGATGACTTTCTTAGAAGAGACATTAAGTACTACTCTATTATTGTCTTTATGTTGACTTTGTCCAATAAAACAGATTACTTTTTTGCAACTTGCATGGCTGTTGCAACACTCTCCAATAGAGTTTAAACAAAAACCCTACATTGTTTAAAAAAATTATAAACAATTTATTAATGGAAAATAAAATAAACACAAATAAAACAAAAAAAATAGTTTTCGCTTGTAAACATATTCTATGCTTAAAAATATAAAATAGAATAAAATAAAATAAATTCTCCACAACCTGCATAATTTACTGTGAAAATGGTTTAAATAATAAATTAGTAAAAAATAATTTGTGAATTGTTTTAAAGATTATTTATTTCTAATAAGCTTCATCACTAGGAAATGCAGACAAAGCATCGGAGGTTCATTGAAGCATTTCCAAAGCTTATGGTCCTTACGTAACATATTCTCAAGGGAAATCACACTAATGTACCCCTTAAGTCCCTTGCATCTGTTAAGGAAATATACAAAGCTAATTCAGAAAATAAGATACAATGAATTTTATTTAGAGGTTGATTTGGTAGAGTTTGATGAAATATTCAATTTAAAACTCATTTTTGAGTGTTTTATTGTAACTCTTAAGAAGCCATCAAAACACAAGTAATAAATAGAAGAACAACACCTTTTATAAACCAGGTAGTTGTTTTACCAGTAAAGATCTACAGAAATAAACTAAGGAAAAAATTGTATATTTTACCTGAAATTCTTGAATGATGTGTACCCATAAATTAATAATAACTATGGTACAAAGATTTGATTTACTAATTAAAAATTGGATTGCTCCCATATTTCTTCCTTGATCTAATTTTATTCTTGGTTTTCAATAACATAAAAAATAAATTCAATGATTTAAAATCAATGTTGCAATCAAAGTGATTACCTCAGAAAAATAGATTTGAAAAATGTAAAAACCTTCCTTTAGGTTTATATTTGTCTTCTTTCAATTGAAGATATCATATCAAATGAGATATTAAAAATTGATGACTATAACTTTCTAAGTGGATTCCTCTTTTGTGGGTTTCTTCATTACCATAAAAATAAAAAAATCAAAATCAAATCAAATAGTCATTCTAGTTTTAATATTGTATTATCTTTGAGAAATTATCTACTCTTTTTTGGTATCACAAGAGTGTACTAATTCTTTAGTTCTTTGAGATTCATGTCCTTGACAACAATATATGTTGTTGGCCAATAAGAAAACTTCTTTGTCTTATTGGCCAAATAAGCCAATGAGAATTTTCTTAAAATTAAAAAATTCTCATTGGCTTATTTGGCCAATGAGATTTTTAAAAAAAAAATTCTTACTAATATCTTATTAATGATTTTTTAATATTATATAGATGTTTCATGAATTGAAAATCTTTCACATGAGTCAAAAACATATTTCAAAATAAATTTTAAAAATATAAATTTGGATTAAACTCATGACAATGCCAAATAATTTTAAAAAACATGAACATAATCTATTCTATAATTCTACACTTAAAAATAACTAAGGGAAATATAAGCCTCAAGTGTGAGAATACTTTTGATTGGTAGATATTGGTTTTTAAAGTAGTTATTTCTTATTCATAAAGAAGATTAAGTTAATCTTCAAAACATTTTAAATTCATCAATGGAATATTCTCTACATTCAAACAAGATTAAACCCACTGCATACTCTTTAACAATTCATGAATAACAAGTTTACAGTTAATTTTACAATTGAACAAATTGTTACCATGGAGTTTTGGATTTTTAAAATCTTTCATAACGGATTTAAAATGGGCATACATGAGTAACTACAAATTTTCATTACATCTCTAACTATAGAGTAATAACTAAATAATCATCAAACACCTACTACGTTAAGAAATTCAATATTAATTTCTACATAATAAATAAATAAATAACCTATGTTAAAGCTATGAATCGTTTACAATGTGCTCATAATGCACACACACTAACGAATTCGCACGTAATAATAATATTTACTTATCTGGCCCTCGAATGGCGAGCCACACTCAAGAATTATTTCATTTTTACACCCAATTTTAAAATAACTCCAACGCAAGAAGTGAGGCTTCATCGGAAGGGAACAAATGGGTCAGATTCATGAACATAGATGAGCAATTAATTCGGTCCATCCCCCCCCCCCTCCTACATTAATATCTCGTTCAGAGTTCCCCACATAAGGAACGGAGCCGGAGGGGAACGTCATGGGGAACAAGGCTGAAAGCTCCCCTTTCTCCGCCTCGAAGGAATAAGAAACGACACGCGGCATGTGTGGAATCCGCGCAGACTCTGACACCCATTCCAGCTCAGAATGCGGCGTGGTGGAGAGGCAGATTCCTTCCAGAATCTGATTGGCCGTCATGGAGGAGGAGGAGCCCTGCTGGCCGTACTTTCTGCTGACATGGACTCATTCCTGGGTGCATAGAATGACGAACGGTCACGTGGCAAGTCTGCACTCCCGCGCTACTGTCAGTTTCTTTGCGCCAAATCTTGCCTCTTGCTATTTTAGGGGCTTCCCTTGTAATTGTAGACTCGTCTCGTGGTTTTAAAAACTTTTTCAATCAATTAATTAAGTCCTTTTTTTCTTTTTCTTTTTCTTTTTTTTTTGGGAGGGGGGGGGTTTATTGCTTTGATTTCTGAAATATTTCGGATTAAAACCAATACAGAAAAAAAAATGTTTTTTATTATATTTTTTGAATTATTCTTTATCCCTGCCCTTTACACTGCTTTTTTGAGATCTCTCGTCACGTATCATGCTTGACAAAAGTGATCTGGAGTGCTATTTGTCTTACAGTGCTATAGGTGAATGTAAAATCTCTTTGACACTTAAGGTTTTTGAATAGTGGATTGCTTTCACACGGTCCCTGTTTTTGTTGTTGTTGTTGTTATTACTTTCCTTTTTTACATTTTCATGAAGAAAGAGCAGGTTGCTGTCACCCCCATCTGTTTCACAAACCCGATTATGTTTCTGAAAGGAGGTTGTTGAATGTTTTTATTCTTATTTTTATTTTTACAACTATATATTTGCCTCTTTTTCATTTGCATACATTCATACCAAATGTTGAGTAAAGCTAAATTGAAAATTAAATGTGCAAGAGCTGGCACAGCATATATCATGAACCTAATATCCCAATAATTAAATTCTCCTATTTCAGTTTGCCATGCTCTCATTGGATCCAGTGTGTTGCAATACTTTTGGGTGGAAGTGGCCATGTTGAGACCCACCAAACCCAATCAAATCATGGCTTCCTTTGTGGTAGCAAGATAGATAAAATTAAATACTTGAAAACAGATAAATGAAAAAATAAAGTCCAAAAAAAAAAACTCAAACTAAGAACTAAAAACTTCAAGCAAATTTAATGCAAATACTTTTGAGCAGAAGATGAGTTGTTGGTGTCTGTACTATCTTCCATGTATGTGAATCGAACTAGTTTGACTCCAGTGCCAATTATGAGAAAGCTAGATAAATAAGTAAAGAGAATGACTAAATAAAGTAAGACCAAAATTTTGCCCCATGCTTCTATACTCATATTGAAAGATGTGAGATTTGCAAGACTTTTCATCATGCACGTAATAAAATTTATTTAAAAAGCAAAGAATACATATTTATTGTTAACATTGATATGCAATTGTGGAACTGCAGTCTTTCTTTCTATAGATGGATAGATGGGTAGATATTGTCAGACATATCTACACATGTTTCCATATAGAGACTTAACTACATTCTCCACATCATATAATGTGGGGCTTTCATGTCATATCATCTGATAGGAGCCATTCAACACCATCAGATAGCATGAAGGCTGACATGGTAAGAAAGAAAACCTTTTGTACAGGATTCATGATAATAATAAAAGCTAGTCAACCCTGAGTTGCCAAATAAATGAATTTTCGATTTGACAATAAAATACATCAAGAAAAAGTAGATACATGAAAAATAAAAAAGCAAAATTTATTTATTTATGAGATATTTTGGTACTGAAATCAATAGAACTAGGGCCTCACATTCTGAGACTTTCTTTCTTTCTTTTTGATATTGTTTAAGTTTTGGTTTTGGGTACATGTGTACATAGACACACACACACACACAACTATGAACATGAGCTTGAGTGTGGAGGCACAATGTGTGTACACAATGTGTTTGTGGAGGTTGCAAATTGGCAGATATAACTATTTGATGGGGCCCAAGCTTAACCCCCATATGTACACATTTAATTAATAGTCCCCTTCTCTCTTTTCCCCCTTTTTCAACTGCATGGAGAGACATGGTGGAGAACAGATGGTATGTAGAAAGGGGTGGAAACTGGTGACGATTTTGTGCACAGAATAAGTGATATTCTATTATTATTATTTGAACATGAAGGGGTGGATACTATTTACTACACATGCCATGCAGCCCATTGTCAGCCAGCTTGAAATATGCTCAAAATTTGTCTTCAAAGGCAGAGGATCAGGAAGGTTCCCACTGCCCTCTAGGTTTCCTAGGGCACACCCAGTGCCATGTGTGGGTACTAACAAGATGCCAGCAGCTCACTCACTCACTCACTCCCAACAGAGCTACACTCACTTGCACACTCAAAACACAACACACAGAGCTCTCTGCTAGAAACCAAAACAAAAACACAACCAAATATCTGGAATAATAGACCTAATGAAGGAAGGAGGAAGAAGAAGACAAAATGCCTTGTATGGGTCCCTCTGTTGGAAGCCCAAGTTAACACTATGAGAAGAAGTAGTGGTAGAAGTAGAATGAGAAGCAGTAAGAGAAAGAGCACATTTCCCAACTCCATAGCCCACTCCCTTGCTCAGCTCCCACTGCCTTTGGTCCCATGCTGTTCCTTCCTGCCTTCATTCTGTTTCTTTTCTTTCTGTCTGTCTTTCTTTGGTAGCTTTATTGTCCTCCAACCACTTGGTGCAGAGGCTGAGGTGTGTTCCTTGTAGGGGTGGTAGAAGTAGGCAACAGTTTGTTTCCTTTCTTTAGAGAAGTGGGGAGGGGAGGTTAACAGGGGAATGATTTGCATGGTGGACAAGAGAGATGGGGAGGATGAATGGAGGTAATGGATGGTGTGCCTGCAGAATCATTGTCCACTTGGGTTGAAGTGAGCCCTCTGTTTGTACTTGTTGCCCATGCAGTGTGCCTTTTTATATTTAAGGTTCTCCAGTTTTGATGGCCATGGCATTGTTGAGCAGCCATTGATATTTCTGTCCCATTTGGCACAGCATTTCTAGGGAGTATTTCAGACTTTTTACTGAGGAAAAAGTCACTCACCACCCTGCTATGCAAACACATAAAAATATTGTTCTTTCTTCTGATTCTGGTCCCCCCCCCCACCACCCTGTATAGCTGTACAACTCTAGATTTCTAAACTCATGAGGTAAAAAAACAAGATGGGTTGTTGCCAGTTCCCTTGGTGACAGAACTAATCAGCTTTTCGAAGACCAGACTTGGGCATTGGCTCTGTGTTTCCAACTGCAAGGGCACCTCCTGTTGACTAATCCAAGTCCATCATTGGGTGAGCAATGGATACCAAGACCCCCCACCCCCACACACACACACAAGGAATGTAGAATGTCAACACCAATACCATTTGAAGGATAGCAAAGAAAGAAAAAAACTAAAACTAAAAACAATAAAACAAAAGTCAATCTTATCATTGTTTTATATATGTACCACTTGCATTAAATGTATATATATATATTTATATATATATATATATATATATAGAAGAACAGGAACAAGTGTGTATTAGCACTACATTGAGACAAAATACACCATGGACATACAAAAACTATTTTTAACACTATATGCAGAGATGTATTATCATCATTATTACTCCTTTTACTCAATCTCCCACTCTCGTTTTCACACTCTCTCACACACACAGTCTTAGTCTCCTGTTTTGTTGTAAAGGTGAGTGGAGTTAGGCAGCCGTAGCAGCCACTATCACCTCCACTACCACTGCTACGACTACTACTCCTACACCAACATGTCATCAGACGGCCATGGCTGCAGGGTGTGTGTGTGTGAGATTTGTCTTTTCCTTTGAGGGAGGGAAAAAGAAAAAGAGCGGAGAAACCTGGCAGGTACTAACTCGCCTCGTTCTGGGAACCACAACGAAAGCATCTATTCTAGAGGTTGCCTTATAAATATGAGGAGCCGCATGCTCAATCTGGAGGAATCGATCAGCCTAAGGGGTAACGAGCTCTTCAGTTGTCTCACAGTCTCTCACAGTCTCCGACTACCTGTTGTGAACAAAGTGAATCCTGCAGACCACCGATCCCAGACAGCTAGTGAGAGTTTTGGAAGGTTGAGACTGAAGAGGGACACACGCACTCTCTCACACACAGACATACTCAGAGAGAAAGAGAGGGAGAGAGGGAGAGTGAGTGATAGAACGAGAGATCGCGAGAGTGTTGGAGTGGGGGGTTGGGAAGAGGTGACGCGGAGAGGTGCCGTAGAGGTTTTTCTCCCATGGAGGACACGAGTTCGTGTAGCCGCGTCGTGGTGGAGTTTGTGTAGAGGGAGGGGTCACCATGGAGCCGCGGCAGCGAAGCCTGATGCTCAGTAGTTTGGTTGTCGCGGAGGACAAGGTTTGTAAGAGGACTGTGAGGCAGTACCCTGCGAGGAGTAAAAGCAAGCGGAAGTCGTTTGCGGAGCGAGAGCTCGCGGGAGCTGATGCATGCGGTGGCCCTTTGAAGAGAAGCTCGTCGTTTAGAGGAGTGACCAGGTAGTTTGCCAGAATGTGTTGAATTCTAGATTGTGACAGATTCCAGTCTTTGTTTTTGTCTACGATGGTTTTACGTGATTTTTATGGACATTTTGAGGGATGGGTTTTGGGGTGAAGATCGGCGTGTTGAGGGCATTGGAGTTAAGTGCATGGAATTGGGTTCTTTGGGGTCTGGACAGGCACCGATGGACAGGAAGATTTGAGGCACACCTCTGGGACAAGAATTGTTGGAATGATAAACAAAAGAAGAAAGGACGACAAGGTGAGGGAATTCGGACTTTTTCAAACTTTGAAGTTGTTTACGATGAAGTAATGGGCTCTTGCATTGGGTAGAATTCGTAAATTTGGGAATGCGGACTGGGTTCCTGCTCATCGGGGTCATTGTCGTTTGTGGGTGCTGGTTGTGGGGTGCTGGTTACGGCGATTCTTCTATCGATCAGTTTATTTAGGTGAGAATTATTGGAAATCCAACCTTTCTTTTGAGAGCATGCAATGTGAAAAGAATATTACTTTGAGGGAGTGTTGGAAATTGCACCTTTATAGTTTTCCTTTCTTCTTCTTCTTTCCTCCTTCCCACCTTTACTTATTTCCCTCCTCTTCCTCCCAGATTGCTGACTAGATTTTTCTTCGCTTTTCTTCACCAGGAGCATACGATGAAGAAGAGGCGGCTGCCAGGGCTTACGACCTTGCTGCGCTCAAATACTGGGGACAGAGTACTGTTATTAACTTCAAGGTGTGATCGCCTGCGGCTTGAATCATGTCTTGATGTTTCAGTGCTCCATAACGATCTCGTCTTAGCCGAGTTCGCAATCAAATTCTACAACGTGTTTCTATTTCATTTTGTTTATTTTTTGGTGTACTCAAGGTGGTGCTCAAAAGTCTAATTCTTGAACGTGGCAGTTGGAAGATTATCAACAACAGCTTGAGGAGATGAGGAACATTACCCGTGAGGAGTACCTTGCCACTCTTCGAAGGTATGTCACTGTCGGTGACGTTCAACATGCACTGACTTTGTTGACAATCCAGCAAAGCTTCGAAAAACGTGTCGCTGATATACTAAACTAGGGATCTAAATTTTTTGTGCAGAAAAAGCAGCGGCTTCTCGCGGGGAGTTTCCAAATATCGAGGTGTTGCTAGGTAATCGGTCACAAGATGCTCCGGGACCTGTGAAAAGAAATCACTGTTTTAGTCTTGAATACAAGTCAAATGTCCTAATGAAAGTGACATCATGGTTTGAACTTTGGGTTCTGAATGAGTGTGGTCTTAAATAATTTTGCAGGCATCATCACAACGGACGCTGGGAAGCTCGCATTGGTCGTGTTGATGGCAACAAGTACTTGTATCTCGGCACTTTCGGTATGCATCACCAAAATGATCATAGTTTGTCAGAATGTTCAAATCAAAAGGTGTCATTTCGTATGGAATTGGTAGACTTCCAAGATAATTTGATACTGCGATCTACCGTGTCAAAAGGTTTCTATACCGTAGCTTTTTTGCAACATGTTGTTTGGGAGAGCAATGGATAGAGGCTATTGGAGTAGCTAGTGGTCGTTTCCAACAGTTTGGATGTGTACTCAGGTACACAAGAAGAAGCCGCTCGAGCGTATGACAGGGCTGCCATTGAGTACCGTGGGCCAGCAGCTGTTACCAACTTCGATCTCACGTGTTACACCCAGTGCGTACTCGCTTTTCTCGAATGAATGCATTCCTTTCAGTTTGTGCTGCGCAGTGAACCCGTATGGAGCATTTGGAATGTTGATTCTTTTGTATATCATTGATACCTTGAAGTTCGATTCTGTTGTTTGTGTGCTTGGTCAACTTTAGTGGACCAGTTGTTTTGTTTTATTTCTGTGCGTTAAATTCGCCTCTGACGGTGGAATCTTGGAAATGGTGACTTCAGGCAATTGGCGCGAAAGCCCGTGCAATCGAAGTTGGCATTCGAGGAGGGTCAAGGCGCAAGCTCAGTCTCAGTAGGCGGCTCGTGCACTAACGATCAGATGTATCCACCAATCCCCTTAGAACAATCATGCGACATGCAGTTGCTGCCGACTCTTGATGGAGATGATTCCCAGCTGGTGGACAGGAAGAGCATCATCTTTGACAGTGGCTCTTGCAGGGACCTCTCCCAGCTCCTTCAATCACCCTTCAGTCCAGGCTCGGACGCAGGGGGCTCGTGCATCAAGTCATTGACGAAACTACGGTACGCTTGCGATGGTGGCTCAAGCAACAACCTCCAGAGCCTCGCGTACGAGGATCCTGCTCAGATCACAGAGTCTCGTTGTTCGTCTCAGTACCAATACACAGACGATAGCATGGAGCAGGACGTGATCTTCAACGCCAATCCTTATCTTACAAATGACTTTTCCCATCAAGAATATCAGATTGTAGACGAGAAGCCCAAAATATGTCTAGAAGACATCACCTATGTCGTCAACGAATGCATTCCTGGGGACAAGATCCCGGAGATGGAGACGAGCGGCTCTAGCGTTGTGACCACCATGATGATTCCGAGGGAATCCAACTACTTGAAGAGCTTTGAGATTGACTTCGACGACGACTCTCACACGGAATGTGAGAGTCAGATAGAGAGTCAAGTGGATAATAATTCTTTCTGGGATGAATTTCTGGGGTCGAACGACCCTCTATTGCAGGAGACCTCCTTCCCCGACGTATTCGACGAGCAGCAGACGTTCAGGTGTCCTTCTTCTGACAGCGACTTAACTTTAACGTTTGACATGTAGAGGAATCGCAGTCGAGGTCAACAAAATATGCTTATACTGTAAAAAGAGAGGACAAGTCTATGTCCCGAGCCTTGCTCTTCGGAACTTTGGAGCCACACAAGACAAGTGGGCCTACCATTTTGGTGTATATAGGCAACGATATGTCAGGAAATCGTCGAAACACCCTACAGGATTCGAAATAAAGACAGAGGGAGAAAGGGGAGAGACACAGAGGGAAGCGCATGCCAGGATAATTTTCCCAGGTAGTACCGAATGTTCATCTTGTGTGGCGAAGTTTTGCCAATTACTCTACCGGGTAAACAATCTCCAGACATGAATGTAACAGGAGAGACCAGTATCATTCCATTTATCAATGCACACACACAAATTGCATTATCACTCTTCTGTTCATTTTCATTCTTGCTTGTTAGACGGGGCCGAATCTCTAGCTGTCTTAAAACTTACGCGAATCCATGAGGTCATACCTTTTATCTACGTACTTAACACTTGCATGCAGCCCATAAGCTTTTGGTGACCTGCTGTAGAATTATTCGGTCAGTCCATACCATGTATCATTTTTCACTAGATCTAACTCAGACCCGGTATATCAATCAAACAGTTTACTAAACTTGATGTCTCAAAAAAATTGAACAAGTACATTTTGCATGTTTCGAATGGAAAATGAGCTACAACTTGATAGAATATAATTTTTGCTGTTAGCGGTCGTTATCGGGAGCTGGCAACCAATACTAATGCCTGAGGCCACTCACAGACCGAGAAGACGTTCGCATACAGAGGCAATTCACGATCCTGAATCTTAAGTGAGTTTTTGAACCTGGAGCCCACCCCTTCGCTCATAACTAACTATCAGTACCCTCTTCAGACTTGATGTTCAAGGAAGTAGCCAGAGCATGCGCCGAGTGGCTGGAATGCGGCATAGAGTCTGACACAGCTCTCGAGTCCTGGACAATGCTCCCAGTACCAGCTGCAGGTCGATGAGTGGTGTGCTCCGTCACAGGGACATAAACTGGCGACCTCGAATACACTCCTAAAGCAGCCCCTGGAGTCCTCCAAAGCGCGACGGAGGTGCCGAAATCTGCATAAGGGAACCCCAAAACGTGGTTACCTGGTAAGAAATGGCTACCGAATGGCGCCACTGCGAAAGAGGTCGCAGATCTTGGCGATGGAATCCAGGGACTGTTGACATATGGTGCAGCAATGGTACTCTGGCCAGTTGGGATGAAGGCGATTGGGCTCCTGAGATGGGATACTGGCGATGGGAGACAAAGGTGGAGACGAGAATTGTGTGCGTCTGCAGATGCTTGCAACGGCAGGAGCGACGAACTGTCGAACTGTGAGGGTGAGGGGTAGGGTTTCGGATGTGCCCACTCGGCAAAGATCTCCCTCTGCTCCATTACGCCCGGGTTGGTGCAGTCAATGGCGCGTTGCGCCGCGACCGCATCGTAAAACTTCACAAAGGCGATGCCCTTGTTGGTGGAAGCGTCCTTGTGTCGAATGACGTGACATGACTGGATGGGGCCGAAGATTTTGAAGTGGTGTCCCACAGTTTGCGTGGTAGCTTCTCTTGGAATACCCCGCACGAAGACGGTGGTGTTGATGTCAGGGATCAGCACTGTGGCGCGATCGGTAGAGTACGCAGGCTGCGCTTGAGGCACGACAGCTGGAATTGATCGGATGTATCTGCAACAGAAACACACAAATCAATGAGCATGAATATAGATGTGTGAGATCGCTACGGATGGGCTTTTTCGCAACGTGGAAGAAGTAGAAATGCCTCACTGAAGAATGGTAAACTTATTTGAAGATCGAAAGTGTGACTAGGAACATTACGTGTAAGGCGGCACGACGAGTGGGGCATAGGCAGGCACGGAAGCAGCTGCAGAGTACTCGACGGGGATCCAATACACCATCCCTGTAACGGTATCCATCACTGCATTCATCGTTTCTGCAATCGGTTACTCTCGATTGGACACACACAACAGACGGCGATGCAGTCGCCCAGCCATCGCGTATCAACCCCCCTTTCTGACTAAAAAGCCCTCATTCCCTCCCAAAAACGACCTTCACATGGGAGGTCAAGAAGCTACGCAGTCCTGACAGAGAGTTACGCAATGAGGAAGCCTTTTGACACCGTAGAATTACCAACTTCGGCATCCCACACGCCCGTTTGCAGCATCTCATTCACTGACCAGGGACCTAGCCATCAAGCGGTGAATTCACTTCTCACCACATCACTCTCGACGGATCAGAACGTGTATTTGCTCAGCTCGACTTAACAACAACGCTGAAAAACAATATACCGCAATAACCTGAACAGCACCAACATGTCGGCCATCATACCCCCGCGCTTGTCAACATAGACACACCACATCAAAGCACAACTCTCATGAAAACTACCAACCTGCGGCCACCAACTACACGGACATCTGCCCTCACATCAAACCTACAACAGCGCGTCTCGCAATCGACTATCTACAAGACACTGAATCGAATTCTCTTTTCCTCGTCGACTCTTAGCGTTGAGAAGCCAGTAGACCTGAAACAGAAACCAAGACTCGACCAACCTACGAAACCATGCAAAGGTCGTTGCAGCTTTTGACGATGGATTCGAGTCCTCTGAGACTGGGTCTCGAACGCCACTGGATTCTGGATGAGAGAGCATGCCTGCTACGAGAGGGTTCTACAGGATATCATGCACGCCGACTTGGCGCACGCAGTAATGAGCTGGGTTGATCGAGAAAACCGTTAGTGGGAGATGATATTAGGCGGTGTGGTGATGAAGCTTATGATTAGAGTGAGGGAATTAAGTGGGAGGAAGAACTACCCGCAGCAGCGGATCGATGCTAGATCCCCTGAAAGAGTCGCCTGCAGATCCAGCTCCGGACTTCTGCGATCAGACGGTTAATGACGGCATCCGATCCCCAACTGCAACCTTTTAATGCGCTTGTCTGGCGCCCCTTTTCGATTTATGAATGCGATATAATCTGTGGGTCTTGGTTCTGGACTACCCACCTCCATTGGCATCGTGCCACCTTTCTTTCCTGGAGCATTTCCTGTTAGCGCTATTTTTGATGTTTTGAAGGGAGTGTGTGATTCAGTATCTATCTGGATAAACTTGCTAGGCTTAATTGATCCTGCTTATTCCACCTATTGTTCCAGTAATTCATGTTGCCCTTCAGCTGTGCATTGCATGCTTTTTGATTTCAAGCTTAGAGTTCCGGATGGGTACATGATTGCTTTGTAGAAGTTAGTGCAATTGATTAGCTGATGTACTGTTTGAAGCAATTCTTTGAGAAAACAGAGATGGAGAGGCATGAATAGAAATGAATTTGTTGTAGTGGACTTTTAAGAATGCTAATGGTTGTGAGTTTTTATTTATTGTTGTGCTTGTAGGTTAGTTTGTTGGTGGATGAGATGAGGCCGCTTTGGATGACTGGATTCTATGGCATTAATTGTTGTATTTCCATGTAATAAGAATATAATATGTCATATTGTATCACTAAATCAACCAGATGCATCAAGGCACACTTTCCTCAGTGTAAAATTTGGCTGACATGATAAACTTCACAAGTTCCAAATATCATATTATGAAGCATGTGACATGTTCTGTTCCTAAACTGAGAGACTTCAACTAAAGGTCTCACTGGTTACTAGATAAGACACAATAGTCCCATCATTCTGAAACCAACATGATAGACAACACAAAACTAGTTGAATGTATGTATGTATGTATGTATAATACATACATATGAAGTTTTTGAGAACAAAGTAAATGAGAAGCCAATTAAAGTACAAATACAAAAAGATTAATTTTACTCTAAGGATTAATTACTCAATTTTCATTGTCCACAAACACAACAAATTCCACCTTTACTATTTACAATTCCATTACACTATAGTTTCTTTTTGACACCATTATTACTTTGCCTCAATTCAAGCAAGACATAATATTAGGGGAAAGTAGGAAAAAAAAATGGAAAAATGAAACCACAAAACCACAAACAGTCTTGCACAAAAGACACAAACATCCTATTAAAATAAAGTAAAGTAAAGAAAAAACAACTCTGAAAGCAAGCAAGCAAGTTGGTACAAGAGCTTCAAAACCCTTTTTTTCATGTTGAGAAAGGGCAGTCCCATGAGCATGACAGTTCCCCACAGATATTTTCTACCTCAGGATTCCAGAATGGCACACCTTCTTCTTCTCATTATTATTATTCTTCTTAATCCTCCTCCTCCCAAACCCATCAAAAACAAGGGGATGCATGGAGCTTGGTTACTGTGGAGATGGCATTGCAATGGTACAGGTAGACAAAATTCTGCACACTTTCCAAGGTAGATTGCATGGTGGTATTGATAGGTCATGGACTTGGGGCTTTAGATTTTGGGTTTTGGTTTTGTTGTTGTTGTTGTTGTTGTTGTTGTGGTGTTAGCACTAAAGGAGGGAGGATGGAGCTTTGAATCCAACAATGTTTTTTTGAACCCTCCTCATTGAATGAGACCCCCCTGTCTTCGATGGGGCAGAGGAGTGACAGATGAGCAGGTTGTATGTACACACACACACACACCACATTCACTCTTTGCCACCCTGGCAATATACCTTCAAGGTGAGTTGGCTTTGGGCTGATGTGGCAGGGTGTCCAACTAGGCTTGATGACTTTGAAGTTGGAGTTTGTTGATCATGTGCAGAATAATGTGTGCTTAATTTAAATATAGTATTGTGAAGCACTGTTTTCATGCTGTATGGTATTTCAAATTCTGGTTTCACAAATTGAGGATGCCATTTTTTTTTTTTTTTTTTTTTTTCGACCAATTGGTGAATTATATTTTGAGATTTTGAATTAGATAAGAAGTTGATATTGATGCATGGGATTGATCATGATAGAGAATCAAGTACTTGACAACATTCTATCTTAACTCATTTTATTATTTTAATTCAAAAAATAAAATTTAGGAATTTAGCTAAAAAATTAGACAAAAGCATCATTTGCATTCTAGTAACAAAAAAATGTAAAAACATGGTTCTATTAGGAAAGTAACTTGATGTTGCGTAGTTGTCATTAAAAAAAATTGAATTTGAAACTGTTAGTCTTATGTTTTTTTGTTTTAAAATAAAGAGAAAGAATAAATCATGTCAAATCTCATTCATAATCTTCATCATTTCCCTTACTTTACTCGTTTGTTTCACAAATAAAAAGATTTCAATGGTATTTTCTTTTGTATATATCTCCTTATTCCATTTCATGACCAAATGTCTTAAGCCTAGAAATATTTAGTCATGATGTTTAATCCAAATTTTAGAAAAAATATCAGTAACAATATCTTTAACAAAGTCCTCAAACATTTTAACAAAGATATTGTGCTTCTTAAGTTTTCAGATTGATAAATCCAATAAGACTCTTTAAAGATATGCAGCAACTAAAACGAAAGTTAAGAAACCACTAATTTTCTTACACTCAATAATGCAGTTGGGCTTAGTTGATCAAAGCTTTAAAATAATTATTTTTAATGCAACATCTTGTTCAAGTTACACTCATGACAAGGTCTTACAGAAATAAAAATTGTTGTAGAAGTTTAGTACTGTTGCCTGTAACAGCAACTCAAAACTTAAGATGAGCTTCAAACATTTTTTTTCTTTCTATCACTTAAACCCTTCACTTCCTTACAAAAGTCACAAATGAACATACAACTCTCAAGAAAATAATTCCAATGAAAACTAGATAAGATTTTTCACTTTAAAACTAAAAACAAATAGAGGATTTGAAATCTCAATAGATATTTGAACTGAAACAGGATATATTAAGGCTTGGTAAGGTGTTGGATAAATGCCAATGCCCCACCTACAGATAGGGTATTAGTTTATTAAAGATAACTACAAGTAGTATTGTCATTTCAGAAATAAAAATTGTAAGGTCCACATGTTGCAACAGCAGGACAACAAATAAGCTCCATCTACAGAGCATGATCTGATGTAGCAAAGCCAAAAATCAATGTATACATCAGTTTGTAGCCAGCTGGGGCAAGTGAAAGTGTTGGAACTGATGGGCCAAATTATTTAAGAAAAATAAAAATGTTTTCAATGTCAATGGTGCCCATGGGCATTCCTTTGATTATATCTGAGACCACAATACTTGCACACATGTGGACCTACGCCATCTAGGCTTATGTACTCGATTGGGTGACCCAAAGCGGGGTCCGTCCCTGCAAGATATACAGAATACCACAAAATAAGGTCTTCACCTCAAGCATCAGTGTTGGAACACCCAGTAGCTCATAAAATTAAAACCTGAGTCAAACCACTAATTCACTAATTGCAACTAAAGAAAGACAGAGTGATAATAACAAGCAGAAGGAGAGCATAAATTCAAATAAACGCGAAATAAGTGTACCTCCTTCACAAGCCGCGATTCGGGCATCGACGTCGATTGGAGGTACTTCCTGAATCAACTCCATAGGAGACTTCTTGTTTTCGGTGTTCTGATTATATATAAGTGAGCACGCTTACGTTAGGTATGAAACTTCAATTTCAGATCTAGACCTCTCATGTGTAATTCAAAGACTCGCACCATTACTCGACGTCTTATGAAACTATGGAAGAGAATACTTTCTTCAACTGGAAATATTCAGAGAAGAAAGCATGCCTCCATACATATAAAAAAGATCCTTACAAATAAACTCCAAAACGTAAGCAGTTTAAAACGACCAATTGAGATACCATAAACCCTTCCAAACGAGGGATATTATCGAAGACTTACAGAACAGCAAACCCACTATGCTGCAATTTTTCCAAACCCCTGCATTTCATCTGCATTGACTGATGAGAGAAATTGGAAAAATTCTAAATTGGGTATAAGGTACTCAATGCACCACAAATTACAGGTGTCTCCAATTCCAGTGAATCTTTCAAGAATCCCAACGATTCCCATTATCCCAAAGCCCCCTCAAGCACTAAGCAAAGTTAGGGTTGGAATGTCAAAGGATGATTCCTGGGGCTTCAGAGGAACCAAATGCCCATCCGTCACAGAATCTATATTACAAGCACTGACTGCGCCAAATTCAACCACGAGATATTACATGTCCACCCAGAATGATTCAATAATCCAACAAACCACAACACTAAATCCATCGAACCCTCAAGTAAACACCTACATTACACCTCAGAACTTAAACCAGAAAAAATTACTCCCACTAGAAATCATCAGCCACATCTCGAAAACGAAGAGATCAGCAAACCTGCATCCACTTGGCAGTATGATCGCCGCTCAAGAACCGGAACGAGGCGCCATAGCGAGACAAAGGAGCTACTAGCTGGGTCGGGAAAGATGAAGAACTCGAGGGGGCAAGAAGCGCCGCATGGGGGTGGAGATTTTTCTGGAAGACGCGAGCTCCATTGCCCATGCGAGCAAGAGCAAGCAGAGACCTCGCCATAGCCATCAAACTCACTGCAACGAAATGCCGAAGCCTCAGAAAACACGAGCAAAGTCTCTCTTCTTCCCCGTCTTCCTTCTTACAAACGAATGAATGATTTTCATCTTCAAACTCTTTATTCGTCCATACATCCACAGGTCGATCGTAACGAATGATATAGTTCATTTTCAGCAAAAAGCATTCGTTTTGGATCAGAAATGTTTTCCTACCGCCCAACCTACTACCGTGACAACCTACCCACCTCCATCCATAAACGAGATTCCAGTATCGTTTCAGGTTGCACGCAATGAGCAGCCATTGAGGTGGCCTAATGGATAAACAGAGGTGTTATCATCTACCGCCCTACCAACTCCCGTTTTCATCCATATGCCCACTGAACTATCAAATCGGGTTCCGCACGTGGGGACTGTAGGTGGGTTGTTACGTCTCCCTTGTGCGACTCCTCCACCTGGCTGCGCGGCGAAACCCTTCACCCGTCTTGTCAAGGTGCGATTTTGCTGTCTCCCCTTTTTCGGAATCGTCTCAAACTTCGCAGAATTTTTTCGTATCGGGTTTTCGGGCTAGAATTTGAGTTGGGTGCGCACACATTTGGCAGTTTATGGGCCAGGGTTCTCTTTTTGTCACTGTTGTAGCCGAACCCGTAAAAGCGTTAATTGCGTTGGGGCCACTTGGATTCGCGGATTGCTGAGCTTTGTTTTTCTTTCCAATTAGCTTTTGTCGGTATGTTTCGCGCCGGATACTTGAGATCCTAGTTTCCGATCGGTAGATTGCGTGTAGCTTGTGTTCTACAACTAGATTAACATGCTTGCTTGCGTCACTATTCTTGATTCTGGATTGCTAGAAGGACGAGATGGACTTTATGAGGGTATTCGGAGCTGTAGAATGTTAGACACGGCAGGATAGCAAAAACTTTGTCGGTTAGCCAGGTTCAAGCATTGAAGAGGCCCTGCTGTAATTGGTTTTCGTGGAGACTAGGGTAGTATTGAGGTGAGGGCGGAGGATTGAGCTCGTCGCAATGGATACCACAATGCTGAAGAAGACGACGATGTTGGCGATGACGGTCCTGGGAACGTTGCATTCGAAGTTGGCGTTGGGAGGTGAAGGGCCCGTGGAGTTTGGGTCGCTGTGGTGGTATATTTATGGTGGCTTATCGATGTTCCTCGTATGCTTCGCGGGCATTATGTCTGGTTTAACTCTGGGCCTCATGTCTCTTGGACTCATGGACTTGGAGGTGCTACAAAGAAGCGGCACTCCTGTTGAGAAAAAACAAGCAGGTAATTCTTCCTGTTCAGAGTCGTTGCTTCTCCACAAATAATGTTTGTGAGTAGTTGGCAGTGTTGGATATCGGCTATGAATTCCTGTCAGCATTTCGCCTTTGAATTTTATCAGGTTGAGTCTATTCTGATTCTTACATTTAGTTCATGAAAACATAACCGTTTCTTTGTATTTATCTGGGCATTGACATAAGCTGGCCTTTTCATTACTCTTGTGTTGTCCAAAATAACATCGTTCTTCTTCTGCAAGCAGCCGCCATAGCACCAGTTGTTACAAAGCAACATCAACTCTTGGTCACACTACTTCTTTGCAACGCCATATCGATGGAGGTGGATAACATATAAACCCTCGAATGCTTTCATCGCTATATTTTTCACATATTGCTAAGTTGCCACTAAGATAGGTCGCAGAGCTTGCTGTAATATTTACGGCGTATTGAGTTCAGAATTTGCGATATAAGCTAGAGAATTGTGGTTTAAAGATATTTGAATGGTGGTAATGCCCCGCCAGTCTAGAATGCTCTTGTCCTTTCAATGCTGAATGTGACTACCATGATACTCAAAGTCTTGAATCTCTCAGTTCTGGAGAGTTTCGAATGGGATGAATGGTTCGAGTTTGCAGCAAACTTCCATGTGGTTTCTGTCCTTATTTTGGGAACATTTGTGCAGGCTCTTCCGATATTTCTCGACAAGATGTTCAACGAATATGTGGCTGTGATACTTTCGGTTACATTTGTACTTGGATTTGGCGAGGTGAATTTATGACTGGACCATGAACAATTCCTTTTTTATGAATTTGAAATGCCCATGGACATTATGATCAGAGGATGTTAAGTGCCGACTTGAAAGCCAAACATTTCTGGAGTCTTGTTTATGCTAAATAGTGTCATTAGGAGTGAGGCAGTATAACTAAACTCATCTTCTACGCTGTGATGGCACTCAATATACAAGTTGCTTTATCATCTTTGTCTCGACTTCGGATATTTAACTGCGTTTTGAATTGTGAGTCAGAGGGAGCTCCACCTCGTGCGGTTTTCACCTGTGTGAGCCCGGAATTATTACTATTATTGTGCAAATTCTTTACTTGAGGTTTGATTGTTCGATCTTTCCTTTAGATTATTCCTCAAGCCATATGCTCCCGATATGGGCTAGCCGTGGGTGCCAACATGATCTGGTTGGTGAATATATTAATGATCATTTGCTGGCCGATCGCGTATCCTATTGGACGGGTTAGTTTTGATCACTTAAAGGCTGTGGATTTTGATTACCTTATGTGTAGTTTTTCAAATAAAACGAATGAGTTACCCTCACGCTTTGAAGTTCTAGAATATGGTGTCTGAAAGAGCTGTCTATGAATTAATCTTATTTCGGAGGAAAGAAAACCGTAGCTATAATTGTTTATTTCGCATCGTACTCAAGAAGTGTAGTGGTTCATTTTTCTCACGTGTCACCCCTACTCGTTGTTCTGTGTGTTCTGTAGTTGTTGGACTATCTACTTGGGCATGATGATTCTGCCTTGTTCAGGCGTGCACAGCTGAAGGCACTTGTTTCAATTCACGGAAAAGAGGTAATAACTCCAACTCATGTAGGAATTGTTCCGGAACTCAAAATGGGCCGTCGTGTTTTAAGATATTTGTGGTCGATATCATCGCTTGAGCAGCAGTATTTTCTTTTCTTATCTCAAGCAATCTTGTCATGTATTTAAATCTTGTCAAGGGTGGGTATGCACTGCACAATTTAAATGAGGTGGTAGTCACGTCAGAAGCTGTTTGGGGTCCAGAGTCTCTTCGCCAATTTCAACACGTTTGTTTTACTGTTGGCAGAGGGATCTTTCCAATAATTTTTAGTCTACATCTGTACTGAAAAAAGTCGCATTCATAAGTCTAAAATCCTGACTTGCTGAAATTTTCGGATTCTAGGCTGGAGGGTACCTAACCCTTGACGAGACAACAATTATCGCTGGAGCTTTAGATTTGACCGAGAAGGTAAGCTCCCTTGCACCCTATAATTACGAGTTAACTTGCAACTTTGACCAATGAAAATATTTGACCCCTTGGTTGTCCCCAATTGTAGGTTGCCCTAAGTATTCATATCTGCTGCTTTTCTTTCCTCATCTGTTCTTGTTTGAAGAGAATATGAATTGTGCGTGGGCGTGTATTTCTGCAGACTGCACTAGAGGCAATGACCCCAATTGAGTCAACGTTTACATTGGACATGAATACAGTCTTAGACCGGTGAGGACTTTGAAATATTCTCTGTGAGCTACAAGCTGTTGGGTAGAATCGTGTATAGTTGCCAAATATTCTTACCAGTCTGTTAACAGGGAGAATTTGGGGAGAATTATGGCACGAGGACACAGTCGTGTACCTGTTTACTCTGGTGGTCCTCAGAATATAGTTGGTTTGTTGCTGGTATGTTGTCACTGACCCTCTCAAGCATTCATTCTCAAAATTAGGAGCCTGTTTAGCACTTGCCAGTTTTGAGACAAACACTTACTTTAATTGAAGTTTCTTCCTTGTTCGCCTGTAAATCCATAAGGATTAATTTTCTGTTCACTTGCTGATGTGTGTAGGTGAAAAACCTGCTGACCGTTCGTACTGAAGATAACACTCTTGTTAATGATGTCCCCATTCGAAGAATCCCCAAGTAGGCTACTCGCTCTCTAAATGGCTTTAGTGGACGTCTGCATTCGTCTTTGCTTTATGTCGGATCATTTTCTTTCGATTATATCATATGTTAGTTTTTTTCTTTTTTTCATTTTTCTTTTTTCTTTTTTTCTTTTTTTCTTTTTTTGATGGTGGTTAGTATGTAGTATGGTCATGCCCTTGGTGAGATGGTATAATTTAGTTTCTGTCGGTTAAAGGAGATTCAACTCTGTAAATATATGGGTGAAGTCTGAACGTCCGGCATCTTAATGCACTCTTTTATGTGCGCTTGACTTGGCAAGTTTTTATGAGATTCGGGTTTGAAATTTAGGAGAAGCCCTATGGAGACTCATGGTCATGATTTTGGTTCTGGAGACAGGGTGCCAGAGGACATGCCACTCTACGATATATTAAATGAGTTTCAGAAAGGTGGTAGCCATATGGCTGCTGTAGTGGCCGTTAAGAGTGGGAGAAGAAAATACACGAAGCGGTCTAGCGTTGGCCAGCAAAGAGAGGGCAGGAAGGGTGTCAAGGAATATCAGTCTCCTGAAGCTGACGTTGAGAAAGGTGGCGGAAGCGCTTATGCTCACTCTAGTGGTGGTGGAGGAGAACCAAGCGCACCCGCATCCGAGTACGACTATAATGGCGAAAAGCTAAATCAACACAACCATGATGTAGCAGAAGGCGATGTTATTGGCATCATCACCATGGAGGACGTAATTGAAGAACTTCTACAGGTGCCCAGCTTCTGCTTTTGCAAGAGAGGGAGTTTCATTTCATACTTTAAGCAAGTAGTGGAATTGTTATAATCCGGACTGTCTGCAATGGCTTTGAATATGGGTTTAATTCATAGCAATTCAGCAGCAATATAATGTTCCTAGTATCAATGGTACCCTGTGTACCCTATATCATTTGTTCTGATTGTTAGTTGTTTAATTGGGTCTTCAGGAGGAGATTGTGGACGAGACAGATGAGTACATTGACGTCCACAAGCGGTAAGACTATTTTGCTTGCTTTCGTTTGAGCTAGGCATTGTTTACTACCTTCAATGTTTGAGACTGATCATAATGTGTGGTTCATCAGTCCTTCTCATGAGAAAAAAACTTCAGAGCAATTTTTGAACCTGAAAAATGGTCTCTTATTGTTACTACATAAGGTTTGAAAGCAAGATCTGATTCTGCCTCGTAAAATGGATTGCTCCCGTTCTAATATTTTGCATCTTCCTTGTGATTCTGCTTTCTTCTGAGTTTCCAGGATTCGAGTTGTTACTGCAGCAGCACATATGAGTAAAAGTACCTCAATGGGTCGCCGGGCGTCTGTGCCTAATATTGTGGGTTTTCTAGACCTTTATTTCATGCTTTAGGATTTTTTCGATGTTTCCCAGTCCTGCGGAAGATTGGTTGTGTTATTGGGACCTTATTCCTTGATGCCATATCTAACATGATTTCTTCTTGATGCACAGCACATGGGGCTCTCGAAGAAAGCACAGGAGGCAGTGCAGAAAGGAAGAATAGATGCCATATCACACCTGCATGCGGATAAACATCATCAGGGCAAGAAGTCGGGAGACAAGGATCTGTCTGAACGATTACTCGGAACTAGCTTTGAGTAGATTTCGAATAAACTACCACCACTTGATCAGTACAACCTCAGTAGAGTTTTTTTTAGTTATAATTATTAACTTAAGTTGCCGTTCGATATCTCTTGTGTTCTTATCATTTGAAGGTGTACTTTAATCTGCTTTTAAAAGAGCATTTGATTGAAATAATGAAAAATTTGGATTTGGAACACATTTCTACTTCACATTAATTGCAGTCGCAATCATCCAATAGTAAAATAAACAATGTATCCTTTCTTCAGGTAACATTAATGGTTTGGAGATTAACCCAAATACACATCGAATACGGTAGAAGGGAAATTGTGTAATTGGCCTCAACAAAATGCCGAGCGTTCCTTAATTCATGCTCATCAAGGAAAGCCTAAGACGTTATCCGTTGGAAACCGAAGGTTATGAGCAAAATTGGAGGTTGAATGTTACTTCAATTATCATCATCCAATAGGTGTTTTTTAAGATCCAGCGACATTTGACGAATGTCAATTTTGAGGACGTCGTGATGAGGCTCAATCTTACGAGCGAACACGAGACGCTTCCGTCGCCGCTCCAGTCGTTGACCATATACCACGAAGTAGAATCCTGCTACAGTCAATAGCCCTCCCAATATTCTGCATGGAATCAACACTCTAATCACTGTTAGCAAAGGCATCAATTCGAGTTTAGTTCCAGGATCAAAATTCGGTTATATAGCACCGCTCAAGAAATCGGGCAAAACGAGAAAATGCTACAGCGAAGTGATTCTTTCAAAGTGTCAGCAAATGCACATTATGCGACGCCCAGAGCGAGAGAAAGTTAGCCGAGTCATACATTCCCATGTAAAGCGTATCATTCAGCAGCATCACTGACAACACGGCCACCATGAGCATTTGCAAGGGAACGTATAACGACACGATGAATGGTCCTCCCTTTTGCACGCACCACGACTGCAACAGAAGGTTGAGGGTGGATGCGATCAATGCCTGCGCAAATGTGAGACGTTCACAAATCAACCTCCAGAGTCTATTATGCTGGACACTTATTGAAAATTCTCATGCCAACAGAACGGAACAAGGGTAGAATTACACAAGAAACGGGAGTGGCTGCATTATTATATTGCAGAAACTGTTGAACGAAACTTACTGCGTACAAGACCCCGATAATCTGTGCCATGGATGTGAGTCGGAAGTTTGCAAAGTGAAGCTTGCCTGCGCTAATAACTCCAAGGATACCAACTTGAATCCAACCGAAGAAGTACGTGCCGGCTGTCATACTAAGCAGAGCTGGGTACATTTTCATCACCGGAGCCTGCACAACATTAATGACAGAAAATGCATTACTACAAATGATTTCTGACGCTGGTTTCATGTTGAAGTAGCACAAATCCCCCCCAACCGTGAAATGGATAGGAACACACTCGCTGTCACATATCACGACAGGGTATCTGGCAACATCTGCATGTCATGACAATGGAGAGTTTACAGTACCTGACAAGTAAGGTATACAGCCCAAGAGACGCAGTTCATAATTAAGTAGAAGATGCCGAGGTGGAACTTCTTCACGCTAAATTGTACAATATCTGGATGAAGGAAAGCGCCCAGGTTTTCAAATGGACGAGTGATGCCGGCGTCGGGAGTGTCGTTACCACCTCCGAAAAGGGCGAGGCCTTTATACACCGACATAATTACAGCTCCAGAGATGCAAACTACTGTTCCGACCACCTTTGCGATCCCCTCGCGCCTCCTTAAGTTCACATCTTCTAATCTGTGCTTAAATAACCGCCATCATCGACTTGAATAAACCTTAGAGCAGTAGCATAGAATGCGTTACGGAATTGCAAAGCTTAATTGACTATTTGCAAGTCTATCAAGTATAATCATCACGTAGGGGGAGGGTGTAGTGTCTAACCCAAGTGCTGCAGCAAGCAAGAAAGTGGCAACGGGGATCATGTTTTGTGACACTGCAGCCATCAAGGGAGTTGTATATTGAAGACCTGCCAGAAATAATTGTTGACTACCCACCACTCTGCAGGAAGCAAATCAGACAACCCAAAATTGACTACACATGGTTAGGACAGGGTGAGACAATGGTCGCGTCACTAAAACTTTAAACTTAGCACCTACCCATGTCCTGCCCATGTCCTGCTCATGTGAAATCAGCACCTACCCATGTCCTGCTCTAATTCAAATGGTTATCAACTATGTCTAGTGGAATAACACCCGGCAATCGTTGCCACAACCTATACTATTATTGTGGCATGGTAGTAATGTTTGAACGTCTGCGTGATAATTCACGCATTGACATAAACTTAGGCCTGAGACAATTTTGCTTCAGATCTCTCACCGACTGACGGTTATGAAACACGGCAAAGATGTCTTGTCATCAAATCACCAAAACTGCTTACCCTGTTAATGAAAGAAGGTTCAACCAACCAAATATTTTCCAGGACGTCGGAGGTCTTTTTTCTCTGCAAACGAACAAGAGAATCGTGAGATTTTTATGGCACTTCACGATGCCCACACAAAACATACGATAACCAAAGAGGAGCGAGATCGTATAGGTGGATCTACCTTTCGTAATAGTAAGCAACTGGGCCTAATATCGCAAAGGCAATTATGTTACGGTACATGGATAATATGAACTGGTTCAATCCAGCGTCCAGAGCAACGCGGCTGAACATTTGCAACCCTGCGTATCCCAGCTGCACAATTACAAGTGCCGCATGAACAACTCGTATGCTATGTGTCTTGGGCGTCACCATGCTTGAGGGAATCAAAGGCTGGGAATTCTCCTTCCGGAGAGAGAGTTCGTCCTCTGTAGAATCCATCTTGTTGGAGCTTTCACTGCAAAATGTCGGTAGCAGTCTAAACCACGAACTTCGCTAGCAGATATGATGCGACCAGAATAGAATAAACCAAGGTTGTGGATTCAGTCGTCCAATCTACCCTCACGGGGTCTCTCACAAACACTACAATATATTGCCCTAGGATATTACGACGAGATGTTTGTGACCATCGCTGGACTGCCAAAACAATTGCATTTGAAGATCTTCCTTGCTTCAGGCTGGAAAAGCTCGGGGCAAGCAGTACGAGCCGATTCTACCATCTACATAAATCGAGCTTCTCAAAGTATGATCCCAAAACAGGCCCTCCTTGCACATGGAAGCATCTAGCACGAATGTGTCCCTAAAGACGAAGATGTGCGCGTGAAGACAACGCCGTGTGCATGTACCTCTTGTTTGAAGAGGAGTGTACCAAGTGTTAGATCACCGAATAAATCTGATGAGCTACACAAAACAGATGTTGATCTCTCAAGTACGAGAACCGCAACAGAATGCAGTTGCCACTAAGAACACCCAATTCAATACAGAAGATTATACTTGTACTCTAACAAGAAGATGGCACGCAATCTTAACTAGTAGTTTTCTGTGTCACGGATTTGAAGTCACTACACAAATTGTTCACACCGCACGCCTCCAAATGATCAAGCGAGCAGACAACACGAAATGCACCCAAGAAGAGGAAGAGGTGAACAGTGAGCTCTGCACCGCTCCTCTCGAAACTGACCGATGTAAACACGCACTTCTCGATTCCCTTTAATAGTTGTGACGAAGTCTCGGAATGGGTAGATTGTCTGCGACCGCTGCAGGAAACCCACCTCATAGCTATCCATGAAATTGTCACCTAGAGGTGATCACATGACATGAACACCGTCCCTAAATGGCTTTTTATCAACTCGGGGACCGGCAGAGAACTGGCTGAATCTCCGACCTGGCCACCTCTCCTTCTCCATCTGCATGAGCATGGAACAAGTCTATGCAACCACTTCAGTCGATCGCTAACCATTAGCTTCCTTTCACCTGAACATGACAATTCACCAGACCCAAAGCTTCACTATTTCTACTATACCTGGAACATAAACGTGACATGTAGATAACAACGCAACCGGATGAGATTTGAGTTTTCAATGGTCAAGGGTCTTATTATGGATATAGTAATATAATTGCAATTCAAGAGCATAAAACCTCGTTCCCATTATTCACTGGTGGGTAGGATAACAACTGCCTCTATTTCGCGCATCCAGATGGTGCCGAGTGACAAAACCAGAAAGACCGTGGGATTCAACGCACAACAAGTCAGTCTTATCTAGATAATACGCTTGGATGCTAGAATTCCATCTCTCGCTTTCTGTGGACCCGGGGCCCGTCGCTTCAAAACCCCGGCCGCAAGCGCAACGGAGCAACCAGCGTCCTGGTGACGGAATGACCTTCGAATAATCAGTGGAATCGATTCATTCACCAAAAGCTTTTCCCCAACCGCTATCCGATCTGACGAATCTATTTAAGGTTGCAGATTCCCGACTCAGTTTCAGATTCTCCACTTTATGGCATACTGGTGCTCCGATCTGGTTATATATATATATATATATATATATTAACACATACACACATGCGGACTAACTGAACGGCAGGACGACCGGAACAGCTGCAATTCCATATATCAGTAGCAACATGAACAACATAACATGAAACATGAAACATGAAAACTACCTGCGGAAGGATGGAGACAGAAGTGGCCGAATCTAGCAAGAATAAAATACAGTGGCACCGCGTCATGAAGCTTTTGTGATCCTCATCCAAGCACTCGCTTACTGCTCAGTGCAGCGTTGTAACATGGTGAGCTACAGTAGCAGTTTTGTGTGATGTTCTTTTATTACTGGTTCAACTATTCGATGATTGTGAACATGGAGCCCCTGTTGATGCAACCCTACTGGTACTGCAATCGAACAAGCCCCTGCAACTTTGGGTTTAAGTTGACCTTTAACTATTTCATTCTCAGAAAAAAAAAAAAAAAAGGAAGTAATTGCACCGATTATGTTGGAACTTTCATCTTCCATGTATACAAATCATGACATGAACAAACGTAAAATAGTTGAATTTGAGATACATATAAGAATATATCTGTTGATGAGTTAGATATTATTCTCTTCTACAATTTGCATATTCCCCATAATTTCAGTCCGTGATTTCTGATAAAATCATTCTTGCCTGCCTTAACTCCTAGGTTGGGATTCATCATTAACCTTGAATAAAAACTGCACTAAAGCAGAGCTGGAGAATATGAAGATCGAAATTAGTGCTTCTGGGTGACAACACTGGCACTGTTTGTGGCTGAACACGGTATATTCCCACGTAAGTGTGGCGAGCTACAAAGGTGCCAAATGTCTGTCATGCAATTGTTGCGACTCCGTTGCTTGTGTCAGAGCTCTCTCACATGCGCTCTGAGTCTGACAAGTGCCATGTAGAAGTGGGAAGGACTACATCTCAGAAAATGATTCATTAGCAGTTTCGAAGATTACGTTAACAGTTCAGGAACATTCGTCAATTTAAATAGGTGTAAAGATGTCTGAACACTACTGAATTGATGCTTCCAAATAAGATTGAACGCATTTCAAAAACTTGGTTGTAGGTTATGAGTTGTGACATAGTTGAACTTTTTAAGCACAACACAGCGCGGGCATCAATAAAATATTTTGAGTGCATCATTGGGATTTGACAGAATTGGAGTCTGATTGTTAAGAGTTTGTGACATTTCATGAATTAGACCTCGATTCAACATTTCAATAACAGTATGCCGGGTGTTACTCGATTAATTGACTTGTAGCCATCTTTGCTTCGAACGGAATAAGATAATGGTGTTCGCACAAGGATGTAGTCTACTAACCACATTTAAGAAGTCGCAGACGATGTCCATTTAATAACTTGTAGACGGGTGTTTCTGGGACATTAACTACTTCGATTTTACAAAGATCTTGTAGCGTATTATTGAAAAGCCACTTTCCACTTCTACACCCAAGAAATTTTGATTGCAATATGGTTTAACCCTGATGTGGGTAGGTTTTGGTGACAACTTTTCTGAATTATATAGTTTGATCAGTTCGTCATTTGGAACAATGTCATTTATGAGTACTGGCAATTGTAGAATGCCCACGGATTTGAAAAAAAAGTCTGTTGCGAACTGAATAAATATAATGTGGGCGAAGGATTAGAAAGAGAGTAGCAGTTAGATGTTGTGATGGGAGATACGACCTGTAAGCTAACTCATTGAATTGTTCAGACTGAAAATTTTCAGATCTTTTACTCCCCACTCTCCGATTCGAATGAAGTTGCACAAAATACCACACGATTTAATTATGTAGGCCGCAGCCATGCTACGCAATGATAAATGACATTGTTTCGAAAACATCATGAACGAAAAATTAGAAGCAATGCCACGCTTACGTCAAAGGGAGTCAAAAAGGTAGGTTCAACTTCGAATAAATCTGGAGCTGTGAATCAGCCCCACCACTGACGATATGGTCGTCTTTCCACCAGTCTGCACTAAGAACCTGAAAAAATCGAAATTCCTGGTTAGAAACTAGTAATAACCTCTAAAGACCATTGGGAATAAAAACTTAAAATCATAACGAATATCTAATGAAGCCTGCGATGAAAGCACTTAGGACGAACACAAATTCAAATACCTTGTCCTTATGCTGAGATAAGGTAACTAGCGGAATTATGGCTCGTGTATCCCAAAGTTTGACAGTGCCATCGTACGATGCTGACAGCAAATGAAAAGCTGACTTAGGGTGCCTGTAAATACACCAGCATTTGAGACACTTTTAGACAAAGAATCCGAATGAGGATTGCAAAAATATAGAAAAGGGCACGTTATGATCCAACCAAGATAACGTACATTGCATACCTCAGAACTTTTTGAGGCATATTCACCAACCAAATTTCACTGAAACCAAAGAAATCACGAGTTGAAGTTGTCGAATGATAAGGATACCGAGAGTTCACTTACCACTTGCAAGCGGATATCCAACCCTTGTGAGATGACAGTTGTTGTACAGGTGCTACAGTTCCTGATCGTAAAAAAAAAAAAAAAAAAAAGAAAAAAAAAACTTCAGTACATGCTGATAGACATGGACACTTCAAAAAACAACAGTATTTACTACATGTTAAATTAAGACAAGCCACTTTACCAGGTATCCGAGGATCCCAGATCCTAAGAATACGATCAGTCCCTCCGGCAGCCAGCAATGAATTCCCTTCCCCACCCACACTCAAGCAGTGCAATGCTTTGCTACAAGTCTGCATCACGGAACAAGTATGCAGTGAGAAATGTAAAACGAGGCCTCCCAATATCCCATAGCAGCACATTGGCACACAAATAACTCCCCAAGAAACAACCACACGAGAAAACTCTACTTTTAGCTCCACATGAAGAGGCAAAAAGTAGTTAAGCGATAGACGCACCAGAATATTAGTGTTAACTGCAGATTCCACATCCCAGGTTCTCAATGAATGATCCCATGAAGCAGAGTAGATGGTATCTCGTTCGGACCAATCGAGAGCTCCAACTACCTGAGTATGCCCCTGAAGAGTTGCTCTAGCTTCCACCTGCAGAATAGAGAAAGATAAGTGCATGAATAGGATTTGCAAGATGACGAAACAAATTTTTCTCGCAACTTTTCTTCCAGACAACATTCATAAATCGTAGCACAGGGTAGACTGTAACATTACTTGCTTCTCAGCAGAGGCCACAGCTCCCGTCTCTAATCTCCTTTTCTTTCCGCCTAGATCATCTTCTCCATCAGGGTCATCCCTCACACTCCACAACTTGATAGATGTATCCCACGACCCTGAACACACCTGTCTCATGCACTAGCAATCTTAGCTGAAGTTTCCAGTCTTTACTTCGCAAAAGGATTGAATCAAATCACCATACACTGTAAAACCAAGACTTCAACTTTAATCATAAATAGATTTGCAATACCAAAATTTAACCAATGAAGATATATCAAGATACGCTGGGGCAGACAGTCCGGAACGTCTGGAAGAAGTGGGATTTGGGCTAGTTCGAACACGTCATGTACCTCGCTCCCTGACGGACTAGCAGCAACACTTTGAACTGATGAGGTGTGTCCTTTCAATCGCTTCACTGGTTTCAAGGTTGTGGTGGACGAAGTTGCCTCATTTAAAGCAACCTGAACAGAAAATAGCAAATTGATCAGGGCACATTTAACAAAACCATGTACACCGTAACTGCTGGATATATGATCAGAAACAATGGATATGAAAGTTCAGAATCGCCGGAACGCTGTAGAGAAGTCTACCAAACAACTCAACTGTACACTTAACTATGTTACTAACGATTTATGTGTCACAAAATTAATAGACAAAACTAGTAGACACTTCGTACAAGTACAATTCAAGGTGAGACTAGACAACCCCCAGCAACGACGGATACATGTACAGGGTCCTTAAGAAATGATTCATTGTAACCGTCACACCATGGTAGAGTAGACTCCGACCTAAGTAAACAAAAGAGGTAATGTCCACGTTGGTATTCAAAATCTGGGTGCCTGATAGCAATACCTCACCGAAACGAACCCAAAAAAAAAATGCAATACAAATCAAAAAAGTACTGCAGACAACGTGTAACGAATATCGAAGATCTAGTAGAGGACAGTTATGTAGAGCCCATATGGAACTCAAAGTTAAACTGAAATCAACTCCGAGCAACGATGGGCACAACTGAAAACAATCTGGGAACGTACGACCAGAACAGTCATACATTAATAGAGCATTCTCAGACTTGAATGTGCCAGGGTTGTAACGGCCTTTGCCATGTAATCACGAACAAGGTTCCTGAAGGTGACATTGACCTGACATAACCCTGGATGACATCTCGCCAGGGAGTAGTATTTAGGAGCATACTACGTCCTTTCCAGACAAAGAGTTTCATCGGAATTAGCAGAGCATACAATCCGCATGGGTGTCGACGCCACACTAACAATAATCCTGGGTGACGATGAGTGCAATTTATGGTACTCAGTGAAGGTACGACTAAAACTGCCACGAAATTGTACAGAATTTCTAGATCTCAGCCTGTCAGAGGTTACAATGGTCTTAACCATGCATTCGAAAAACTACGATTTTGTACACTCGGGGATGATACAGAACGGCGATTAGCACGGTTGATATAGACAATGGACTACAGCAGCGAAAGTCATCACCGAGTTTATATTCAGAAGTACCTGCCAAAAGCGTAGAGTGTGATCTTTGGAGGCTGTCACGAGCTGCAGCTTCTTAGCACTTGACCCTGAATTAAGGATTAGTAGTCAGTGTGTGACAGCAGTAAAAAAGAAAAAAAGAAAATGAACAAGAACCTTGCACATGGAAGAGAGTGGCATGATTCACTGGAAGCAGAGTAATGCATCGTACGTGGTGCAGGTATAGGAGCAAGTGACGTCACCGCATCAGTATGACCATGCAAAAGGAAAACACATTCCCCTGAGGCATTCCATATCCTGAACACGAGATGAACAATGATACGCTCTCAGTTCTTCGCATGATCAAGATTGCAAATCGAGATAAATAAACGAACAGAAAACTAGAGAAGCATGAGATTCAACGAATAATTTACCTTCCGTGGTTGTCGTACGAACCAGTGATTATAAACCTGGAATATCGACGGCAAACTGGTCAGTCGCAAAGGTTTGACACACAATACCATACGACAAGCAGAACACATCGTCTCCAAGAGAAACCGCTTACCTGGTGTTGAATCCACTTACAGCGCTAACCCACTCGTCATGGGCACGAGGCTGTTGGGGCTCCGGTGGCAAAACAACGGGGATGTATTCAATCGTCAAGGTTGTTTCCTACAGTTATGGAAGCACAGAATTTGAATCATAAACCCGCCGAACTTAATCTTGCGTCGCATCTACACAAATAATTACAAAAACTTCAAGGCCTGTTCTATGAGAACTACATCGTAACAAGCGTAACAAGGTCTTGGAACTCACAGCAGTAATTCCTTTGGTGAGGAGAAATTGCTCAATGGAAGACCTCAATAGCTCCCCGTCAATAAGAAAATCAAATGGCTGCGGCTTCTCTGAAACCACACATATAGTATGATTAATCCCCGAGAGGCGGTACGACAAAGAGCATCCGAGCATGAATGAGTTCTTCACATTATTGCACCAAGCTCCAGAAAAACTTATAATCATCCCGTACCAAGGCCAAGCAGTGTGTTCACAACTTCGGAGAGCCCATAACGGCCAAGCTTCGCAGGGATGGCGAAGGCAGAGCTGACAACACGGAGCGCAGGAGGCAACTTCGTGACAAATTTCACTTGCACCTGCCTCTCCACTCCATCCCCGTTAGTGTTGTCCATGGCGCTTAAGCAGAAGACCGACACTCCCCGAGACTACAAATCCACAAAACCCAAAAACATTTTACTTGACGACGACTTCGCTGTGGGCATTGACGGAGACGATGGTGTTCTATATGCTCAGATATTCTCCGGCTCCATGGTCTAGGGTTTAGGGTTTAAGTTACCCTAATTGACACCCGGGATAAACGATTGATGCATCGGATATAGTACCTCAACTTCCACACTTGCAGGACCTAAATAGGAACTGTTTTCGTTTTCTTTTAATTTTACCCAAAATCTATTCTCAACGGGGAACTCTCTAAGAAGTATTGTTTAAAATAAATGAACAAGATTCTGTGTAACTATGAATTGCTTTAGTAAATACATTTTTGTTTAGTTTTAAAATCAAATTGGTACAATAGTTACATACACACATCAAATAAATTCATACTTTATGTATCATTGTAGACAAGTGTATATATATATATATTTTCAATTCATGGTTATTAGTGCATGCGGATTTGATCCTTGGACAACAAGGAAATTGAACTCATTGTTTCTCCCAACACTAGGCATGGTAAATGTTTTCTTTGCTGCCAAAAACGGTATATCAATTTCAATGTTCATTTAAATATAAACATGGTGGTGATTATCTTCGAATAATAGATTTTTGATATTAATTTTAAAAACTAATAAAATTCAATCATTGTTCAATCAAAAACTTTGTAATAGTTATTGAAACATCAAATTCACTACCTATGAGAGATCATCGAAAAATCGAATTGAGGATTATATTTCAATTAAGATTTATCAGAAAGAAACAAAATCTACAAAAAATTATAAAATTATAAATTAAAGGCTATTCTGTCACCCTACTTTTGCTTCTGTCTCACCCAAACACACTGCCCGGCGCCGGAAACAAATCCCCCGACCCCCGATATCCTCGCAGTTGAAGTAGATATCCGTAAGATATCTGGTGGAGAAGATATTTATGATAGATATCTGGTATATGTCCGGACGGGAAGATTTCCGGAATAGAGGGCATCTACCGCCGGAAGTCCTACGATCCAATCTAAGAGATCAGGCGATTTGCGAGAGAATGTTCGAACAGGGAATTTTATCACGAAGTTGGCTACAAAAATCGCAAGACCTGGGTTTATCGTATAACAGCCTGACCAGAAGTATACTGGCCAGTATTTCAACACTCCCTCTGACGAACCAGCCCTCCCTGAAGTATCATAAACTTTCTGGAGTATCATCCCAATCAAAATCGGCAGACTGGTGGTCCTACACCGAATCAATCTTTCGACAAACCCGTTCAACTGAACCTTACTCGAGACTGTGGGCTCACTCTGCACTTCGTGAAATTGGTGCATCCTACAACCAATAGGTTGGTCCGCTACTGGATTCATTAAGTACCAATGCCCTTACGTCTTAAGTCGTTTTGAACCTCTCGTTTTGTACATTCAGTGGGGGAGCTCCCCATCTTACAACAACCTTGGGTCCAGTTCCTAACGATTTCGTTGACTATCTCTCGCTTTTGTATCTCAATGTTTCGTATGAAAACTCACTCGGATATGTTCCATTCTTTCAAGAACACAACGGTGTGAATAAAAATTTGAAACAGGGTTCTAGATTAATTGTAGTAGATACAATTGCAGTTGTACAAGAAATCGATCCAAGCAATGCTGGACGAAAACTGAAAATCTCGTCCGAGCGTGTTGAATAGAAGGTTCGTTACATGGTTGCGAGCCCCTTCGGATCGTAGAATTTCCGGAGGAAGACAAGCCCTCTGGGCTGGAAGTCTTCCATGCCGGATATCTGCTGTGCTTCAGTTGCGAGGGTATTGGGGGATTGTTTCTAGTTCCGGGCAGTGTGTTTGGGTGAGACAGTAGCAAAAGTAGTTGGGTGACAGAATAGCAAGAGAAAAAAAGCAAACGAACAAACAAAAAACTAAATCTAAAACTGCATCTATTTAATGCTTCGTGAAAGCAACGCGCTATGGGAATCGTTTAGCATGACGATTTCGTCGCGAGGACAATATTTCATCAACGTCGGATCAACGATTTCCGTCAGAAGGTGACGATCGACGCGATCCAGCTATGATGTACCTGGCACTGGACACCTGGCACGTGGGTGGGGTCCCCAGGGGAAGAGAAGCTCGATGGTCATCTGCAGCGATGCTGCCGTGCGAGGAGGGAGCGCCGCCCAATGCAAACAAGATCCACACCCAGCCTTGATAATCCACTCGTCTGGCAGGTGTTGGTTGCTGCCCGCTGATGCGATTGGAATTATGTCTCCAAGATCAACACCAGCTGCATGTCTTTGTTTGAATTCAAGGCGGTCCATGGTGTTTTTCTGTCAAACAGTGCTGAGGAGGGCAGTCACATGGGGGATGGCGCGTGCTGCCAATGCGAGGTCACCGTAGACGAACGGTGTAACAATTCGGGTACGATTGGGACTGTATTTTGCGGATCAGCCACAACTCGTTTATGTCTGTATGTGAACGAGATGAACAAGGGGATGTATAGAACAAAAGAAAAAAGAAGAGAAAAGAGGAACAGAATGTGTGAACATGACCAGCTTCACAACAGGGAATCGGGGAACCACCTTCACGACCAGGAAACGAATAGCGGAGAAAGGACAAATGGAGAGCGAATTGGGCAAAGTCCAGATGGAACCTGTGCTGGAATCATTATATTACAGGATATCCGTCAAAAAAATTAACTCAGCCTATAGCTTCACTAAATACAGCAAAGCAACAACTCATCAATACCAAGAGTTCCATCAAACCCATAAGCCCTATATATTACACATTGTGACATGAATATGCAACTGTAAGACCGTACTTCTGATTGTCCTACCAGTGTATACCTAAGAAATAACTTGATGAGTATTCCACACGGAACTTATTGCGGCTAATTTGAACCCACCAACACCTAAAACCTAATCACCTTGAGAGCCTCTCCATGCCCGCACTCTGTAGAAATTGGACATGAGCACTCTAGGTCTTCAACTCCTCCTTAGTGAAGTCTGGGCATGGCTGGGGCCAGACAAAGAAGTAGGTTCCAGCAACTGATGAGCAGTTCCAGTCTTCTGATTCTGACTTGGTATCAAGAGCTATGTTGGCCAGGTGAATGTTGAGGAAAGGAGACTCCGGGAGTCCAAGAAACAGGCCTGCATGAGTGATGTCTTCCCCGACTATGTTCTCAATCAACACATTCTCAATCACAGGGTAGTCAGTGCGATTCCAGTTTTCATCAGGGTGTTCTCCATAGTTTCCCGTAAAAGCGATTGCAGTATTGACGGAGCGCATGTTCACGTTATCCACTGTTATGTTTCTTATGTAGCCTCCACGACCAGGTCCAGTTTTGAAACGTATGCCCCATCGAGCACCAAAAATCATCATGTGGTCAACCTGCAAAAGAGCATAGCTGAAGTCAAAGATTTAAACTGGAAGGTAGCGAGATTCAACGGGACCCTAGAGCGTCAGCTAGTTCATAGCTCTCCTGCATCAAAAATAGGTGAAGATTTCTAACTGGAAGTGCTGATCGTAAAAAGAATTGGTAAGGTCCTGAATAATGGGCAATTAGTTCATGTGAGAGCTGTGCAATTGCATCGGTAATTATCTGAGTGTGATAGTGAATTCTCCATGCTTATATCAAGACACAATGCTCGTACTGCTCGAACGGTTCCTTCACATGCAGGAGTAACTCCATTTGGATCTCAATCCCAGGTTTACGAATCATGTTGGTCTGGAGTAGCACAAATGCCGACAAAACCTGTAATTTCTTCAATGAAAAACTCCCCAGCCAGATTTTACTGACCTTGACGTCGGATATGCCGCCAGACATTTCACTGCCAAAAGCAATACCAGCACTAGTTTCCGAGTGCACAACGATGCGTCGAATGTCGATGTGTTGGCTAGGCATGCCATATGCGGTGCCATACTCATCCCAACCACTTTTAATCGCAATGGCATCATCACCAACGCTGATGTAGCAATCTTCAATGCACACATATTGACTTGAATCTGCAAGATACAACTCCCAGGTTAAGTATATATCAAATGGCATATTAGGCTAGTCTCGACTGTGTCTGTCGGAAATTATACAAGCCTTGCACTAAGTAACCTCAAAGTAAGTACTATTTAGTTATTACAACGAGAATCAACGGCGTAAAAATGAGAAAATGTGAGTCTAGGACATCCACATCGCACTGGACTTAAAGGAGGCAAGTTCCAGTGAATTTGGCCAGACAACCAACATATAAAACCTTCCGGCACCGAACAGTCAAGAATATCACACGAGGTGGGTACCTGGGTCAATGCCATCTGTATTGGGAGAATTGAGAGGGGCCAACAAGGTCATGTCTTTCACCACCACATTTCTGACAAGGTCCGGCAACGACAAGTTATTAATACACGTGCATTAACTCTATTAAGCAGAAGTAAAAGTTCCACATAAGAAAGGAGCACACGAGGCAGTGCCACAAACTTACGTAGTCAATCTTTCAAAAGATAAATACTTTCATATATCTCGTGGCGTTTTGTACACTACTAGCTTTCACGTGAGGCTCCCAAGGCATTAAGGAAAAGGCCAACAAGACAAATACACGAAAGCCTGCACTGTCCGATGTAACTATACCATTCTCATAGAAAGAGCAGCCCAGAAATAATTACTACGTTTTAAAGAGAATTTAGTAGAGGTTTCAATTCTAAAATACCTGCAATAGACAGGATGAATCGTCCAGAACGGTGAGTCCCGAAAAGTGAGATTAGAGATTAAGATATCCTTCGAGTCAATAAGCTCGACCAAATGACCGCGAGTGTAGTCCAGCGTTTTATTCTGGAATGCATTCCACCATACAGCACCCTGTCCATCGATTGTCCCGTTATCACCTGCCGCAATGCCATTACCGCAATGGGTCAGATAACCAACTGGTCGTCACGACAGCTGCTAAAGAACAGCGACGTCAGCTACATCCGACGTTGTGATCATTATTGATCTACATTGCAACAACCTTTTTTTTGAAACACTAGCAAGCGAATTTTAAATTAAGAAAATACCTGTAATGACGACATCCTCAAGCCCTTCGCCATTGATAAGACTACGGTGCCTTGGCCCAGGAAGCTCACGGCCACGACCGTAAGACGGCAATCCAGGAATAACAGGGTAGTCATTCAAGTCCTGAACGAGACCACAACTATATTAGAAACGAAGACCCAAGCGATTAGAAGTGAACCCAGCGTTGAAACCAAAACCATGAAAGGTTTCGAATCTAAGATACATTAATATCTCCTCTAGTGTGGATTTGAATTTCCTGCAATTCCTCTTCGGTCTATAATCCCGTAACTAGCCTCTTTGATCGTAAACAGGGGAATATTGACACACCTGAATGGCTAATATCAAACCACATGCCTAAACACTAATTCGGATTATTTAAATTGCACCTGGGATCCAAGGATGGTAGCTTCGTTTTCCAAGAATAGAGTCAGATGACTAATCAATTTGATGCTACCAGTGAGCCATCGCCCGGCAGGAATGTACAACTGCACGCCACCTTTGTCTGCATAGGTGCGGAGATAAAACATGGCATTTTCGAATGCATGCGTGTTCAAAGTTTTTCCATCCCCCACCGCACCAAACTCGCTGATGGAAACGCTGTGAGGCCGATTCTTCCAATTTTTATACTTGCTGGCACAGCTTACATCCGTCTGCACAATACAGACATCATAGAATTCAGTCAATCTATCATTGAGAAAGAGACAGGCAAGTCCTTGCTTTCGTGAAAAACACAAGTGCATTTAGGTTTCAGAGTAACATCTAACTTCCAAATTTGGAAATGGTTATACTTCACTCAACTGTCGTTCAGAGAGACTTTGAACCAGATTCGGAAGCTGCCTAAAAGTACGAACAAGACTTACTGATGAGCTCTCACATTTTAATACAGTAAATATTAAAAAGGCTAGAAGAGCCACTTGTAAGAAAAACAAACCCGGCATGCCCATGAACTTTTTCTTCCATACAATGGTCAAGCAAGCCTTCTTACCAAACCTCGGAGAAGCTAACCGAAGCGACGAAACGTGAAAAGAGGGGTGAACAACGGGAACTTACTTCCACAGATTCCAAAATGTTCTTGTAGCCGGTCGAGGAAGTGGTAATTTCCACTCCTCCATCCGATGCTAACTCAGATGAGCCAACGTGCAATGGATGACCAGATGTGCATGTCTGGTGGCAATGGTCTGCACTCAGATAGGTCAGGAGGAGGAGGAGGAGCAGGACAGGGAGACCTCGACAGCTGAGTCTCCGCATCATCGGGCCGTCTCAATATAATGGGAGGAAAAAAGGCGATTGAGGGAGACCATCCGCCTTGTGCATCACCACTTTTGAGCAAGTCCCTCACAACTTTTACCACAATTCAGAGTATTTGATCCAAAAAGGTGCAGCTTGAGCATCAAACGCTTCACTCGTCAAAAATCCTAAAATTATCTGCTGATTCGCTGATCCACTGCTGCTGATGAACGATAAGAGAACAGCCAGCTTATAATTAGACCTTTCAGAATACACCAAGATAATCTCGAGCTAACAGATCCACAACGGTTCTCTGTCTCCTAAATCAGCTTACAGCTCAGGGGTCGATTCGCCACAACAATCTAGCTCACGGCGTACAACCTCAACACCTCACCCACAAGGAAACCTTTCTAGCAACAAGACTTCCTTCAGACAGGTCGCCGGCTCTCCTCCGCGCGCTCTCTCTCTCTCCAAAATTTCAATACTAATCGTGACGGTGCATCCTTACTTCAAACAGAGATAGAGTAGACGCGTGTTTCACTCCGAAGCAGAACTCTTCCACCTCCATACAAGGGGACGAGAGAGACAATTTTTAAAAATTAAAAATTAAAAGAAATGCAGCGCCTTAAGAGCATCAACCTCTCGAACACCACTGCCTTACAGCACACTCCTGGAATTATAATTTTTACAGAACGAGAATCGCTTTGGGGAAACCAGAAACGAAAACCAAACATTACACAAAAAAATTCAGGATTCCTCTATCGATGATCGGTCACCATCCCTCCGCAGCCTTCTCACTGCACTGCGGGCAAGAAGGCCCTCTCACACCAGGCCTTCTCTCCATAGCCAGCAGCATCGACAGCAAACCTCACACACTCTCTCTCCAGGTCCTCCACCTCCACCTCACTTCTAACGTCTACACAACTAATACCGCGCCACTCCAGCACCGTCACCCCTCCGAGAAAATTAAACCAAAATTACACAACTTGAATCCTACTCAGATCTGCGACCCCGTCGCACGAGACGACGCCCTATCCCGCCCGACCGCCCGCTCATTCGCTGTCTCTGGCCCTAATGCTCTGCCCTCTGCCACATCGCACCATCCTCCGCACATGCTCCCACTCTATCCTTTCTACTTCACCGGCTGCCTCTCTCCACCCCCCCCCCCCATACACAGCCAGCCAGTCATCGCCGGTAAGTATGTACCCTTCTCCCTTGCAATTCGTCCCGCACGCAAACAACCCCCCCCCCCTCCGCACTAGGTAGCTGAAAGACCCGTTGGGAAAAAGATGAAAACGTGAAGCTTCTCCCCCCCTCATCTCACGACGACGACGGTGATCCACATTCGTCGTTACTCTCCCACTTCCCCCACGAGGCTCGTCCCTGTTCGTTGGCGTGGGCCTGTGCAGTGAAGGCTTATCGTCGAATGAGGCGACGATCGAGCGTGGTTGGGAGGTGAGGATTATCCGTTGATCGTACTTGTTTCTATTGGTTTAACTTGGCTGGGGGAGGGTGTGTGGATCTTTCTATATTTAGAGTGAAAGGGTTCAAGTCCCCTCTCTCTCTGGGCTGGGCTGGGCTGGGCTTGCTGGCTGGCTGACACTTGGTCACAATGCCCCCACCAAACTGCACCAGTGGTGTGTCTGTTTGTGAAGATGAATCGCGTAGATGAATCTGTGGTCTTGTGATGAATATAAATTTTGTGGATGGATGGAGGCTTAGGTTCCCTTCTTCTTCTGCTTCTTCTTCTTTCTTTTTTCCCCCTTCTTTCCCCTTACTTTCCTTTCTTTCGTTGTGTGCACTGCATTGGGAGAAGGATTTCTTTCCTTCTAGGGGATTTTGAGTTCCCCTTTCATGTTTCCCTTGCGTCCCCTACCTATGATTAGCAATTACATTCAGAACTGTTAAGTGTGCCAACTTCTTTCACAGATTTGGATGTGCCTTTTTATAAGGTAATGTCCCATTCCCTTCTCTTTTGCCAATGCATGCCAAGTCATTTACATCTACCCAAAAGTTTACAACCCTATAGGAAAATTTATTTGAAGGTCTGAAAGCATTGAGAGAAAAGTATATGTTCATTTTCTTGGTCACAAATAAGAAAATATGTATGCCCATCAGAGATGTTTAAATGAAATAAGAACTCAACCATGTCATTACAGAAAAATCCATACATTCATACATGCACACACATGATTACCCAAATAAAATAACTAAATAAATAAAAACAACTACAGGGAAGTGGGGCCCTAGGGGCAGTGCCACCAACATGGGGTTGAACCATGCAAGGGGAAGGGGAGGAAGGGAAGAGTGCAAGGGAGAAATGGGAGAACAAGGGATGGATGAGGACGTGGTGCCATCTCTCTCTCTCTCTCTCTCTCTCTCTCTCTCATAAAACGGATGAAAGAGATACACATCCTGAGTTCGCCATCCATCCATAAACCAATCCCATCCATCCCTTGCATTCCAGCCATCCAGGAAGGATGATCTTGATCCCTCCCACCCCCTCCTCCAAAGCCACATAATGTGTCCCTCCCTCTCTCTCACCTGACACCACCCTCCTTGTCCTCCTTCGTTGCCAGGAAACAGGAAGAGGAAGAAGCCAAGGAGGGTAGGAGGATTGGGGGGGGGGGGAGGGGACGATTCTGTGGGGGAATCTGCCAACCTGGAGGGAGGACTGCCCTTTACAACCCAGCTGGCCAGATAGCTAAGCTGGCTAGCAAGCTCATGGTCTCCACTGAGGTGGTTGACTCCCAGCTCAGTGCCCCCTTCCCATACCATGCCAACATGTAATGCAGGAGTGTGTGTGAATATATGAATCTGTCTGTCCTCTATGGGCCCAACCAACTGCACAGGGAGGAAGAGGAAGAGGAGACCCTACTTCAGCCCTCCTTTGTTGCATGCAAGGAAAAAAGCCTTGGCACACACAATGCTTCACTTGTGGGGAACTGTGCATGGGAACTGAGGTAAAATGACAACAACACTTTCCAACCTGCTTTGATTTTGACCCCTTTTTTTTGCACACTCTTTTTTTACTACATTGCCCCAAAGATTATTTTCTTTCTTTCTGTCAGTGTGAGAAGTACCCATGTCATTTGGTTGTGTTGGGAATTAAATCCAGTTACTGTTGATTAAAAAAAATATGCATTACATAGTAATGTAATTCACTACTGATAGCATACATGCACATGAGTTTCAATGGAATGCAAGAAGTATTACAGTCAGAATCCAACATCCTACTACCCTCAAAGATGGAATTTTTTCAAAAATGAAATAAAATGACATGGTCTAAATTTCTCCAGCATTGTATTGCACACTTGTGAAAGGCATGTTCTCCTTCACATAATCAGCCTTTTACAATCAATTGTGTAACTTCAAAGCAATCTTTCCCTTTTGCCATGTACAACAAGATGTTTGAGGCAAGCTCAATGTGTTTTTTTTTTTTTTTTTTTTTTTTTTTAGTTTTATTCTTATCATTATTATTATTATTATTATTATTACATTCTTCTTCTCAGGGGGGGGGCATTGTGTTTACAAGCCCACAAACACTCAAAGCTTGGAGACTGGTTTGTTCAGTCATCCATCTCTTTGCAAAATTTATCACCACTGTCATGTCTTTCTTTTACCTTTTCATTGTTGTTGTGTCTCCTTTTTATTTTTATCTTGCTGCAACAGATATTATTCTTATGTGCAGTTAGGGGTCAAAAGACAAGACTCTACGTGTCCTGTCACAAGTCAATCTCATTCAGAATTTGGAAAATCCTGCATTGCAGGGTGAGACCAGTTCTACATCACCTGCCTGCCAGCTCCAATGGCTCCCCCTCATCTTCCCCACTACAAAGAATGACAGATAAAAAAGATAAAGATGAGAACACAAGCCCCAGATCCCACTTGCTACATATAAACTGGCCACTCTTCTTCTTTCTTCTTCTTCGACATCTTTTATTCCTTTCTTTTCTCATCCCCTTTGTTTTTCCTCCACTTGTGAGGTCAGCCTCTGGGTTCTGTAGCCAGAAGCCTCAGAACACACGCGTGAATAGAAGGCACCCTGGACAAAAGCTCAGCTCGTAACTCTCCGCTTTGTCCATCTTTAATTACTGATCTTGATGTGGAGTCTGATGCTGCCAGCGTGATGGTAAACAAGACTCAGAGCTCTGGAGTGAGTTTGTTTACCACAGAATTGTCGATACTAAATCAGTGTGTGTTTCCCATCTTCAGCACAGGGCAGTTAGAGAACCTCCAAAAATCGAATCAATTGGAAGCCGGCTTTTAGAATCATTCCATCGATGTAATTGCAAGGCTACAGGCTTTTGGAGAAAGGACTCTTAATTGCTCAACATGGGGGACACGGATGAAAAGATGTAAAGAGAATAAAGAATATAACAATTGTGCAGAAGTTTGGAGCTTTCTTTGAAGTAGTAAATGACGTTGAGGAAAACATGCTATCGTCAGGTTTATTGCCGAGGTCCATCTCAAAAGCGTGCTGTGACACTGGGTTCCCTTGTGGCTCACACCAGAGTTCTCTTTAAATGCAGAGCTGTTGGGAATTTTGTTTTTCGTAGTATCAGTGGAAATGTGTTCGTGTAGAGAATAAATAATCACCCATTATGCCAAATGTTATCTTCGTCAAAATCGGCTTTGATAAGTGCCTTAGCTTTCTTCATGAATGTTGTACACAGAGAATATTCAATGTACACTTTTAGTCATGTGACGCTGTTTCAGCACTTCTCCGGAAAAGGATACCAAGTGCTGCAGCCTGATCATACACAGTACATTTGCCAACCTATAGATCTGAGGAAAGAGTGAAACTTTTGGAACCAATTCTCTAGCTTCAACTTCAAGAGTGATGATTGGCGAGAAGACACGCGCAATGGATTGCCCAGTTAACAACATTGAAGGCAAAGACATTGTAAGTCGCACTCCTGCCTGCGCCAAAATAAACTACCAAAACTGAATATCCACAATTCTTATGCCAAAACTTATTCAGATTTACCAAGTAAACTGCTGCTAATTCTGCCTTCATCCGACAAGAAGGTTGAGGGAGACATTGCTAGGTCGAATTATCTAAAGTTTCGAAAGTGGAGCATCGGGTTAAGTTCTAAGTGGAGGGTGAACAATGAGGCAGATGCGAATTGTTCTCTAGAGTAAGTTGAGGTGTGCATTCCGATCGAGACAGGTGTACATCCATTGTTATAGATGCAGTTTTTCCGATGTCGAATCAAGTCAGAACTCTGGATTTTCGACATGAAAACTCCAGCTGTAGGGACTGGCAGGATCAGAACCAAAAAACTCAAGTGATCACAACCAAGTATCCATTCATGCACAGATTGTAGATTTCAAAACTGCGAGTAAATGAGGTGCGCCGGGCCAACTGAGCAATTTCAAGGTCGATGCGAGGCGTGCACACGTTGATGTACACAGGAGTAAAGCCCGTGCAGCTTCACATTGCCATTCGTCCTCATGAGGCCTTCAACTTGATAAATCGAACCAGACCTGTTCAGGATGTGATGGCAACCAGTCAATTCTGTGCTGCATGCAGGAACATAATCGCCGGAGGCTCCAATGAGCCAGCTGAAGCAATCCTAAGTACCAACCTATACTTTCGCACTAGAACTACAAATGAACACAGTGCACAAAGAAAGGAATGTCCTGGTAACATGCTTACCCCATGGCATTATGCTGGCAACTATCCTGTGCAAACCTCACTAAGATATCACAATAATCATATTTAAAAACATGGAACTTGCCAAGCAGGTTCAGTTTTCTTTTTGAGGTAGACACGGTATACACATTGATGTATCGCCCACCTAAAGAATCAATTGTTGTAATTCTACAGTTATATCTTACAAGTTCCGACCTAAGCCCGTGGGACAGGGATAGAATCTCATACTCTGTCGCACTGTGACGCGAGAGCACTCAAAACCTGACTGTGCACGAAAGAAAGCCAAGAAGAGGGAGGGCTTTAAATCGTATACACAACTAGAAAACATGGGAGTACAGCTTTAGGATTGAAGACAGTGAGCTCATCCAGATTTGTTGCCGATCCAGGGGAAACTGAGTCGTAACCATCAGGTAGGCATGAGGCATGGTGGACTCTAGAAGTTCTCTCTGGTGACCTAAAGATTCTCCCGGCAATCACTCTGCAAACAAGCATTGCATGCTTTCCTCTCCAATTCTCTTTCTCCTCGGCCATGATAATTTCATGCGCTTTGCCGCTGCTTGCCGTTGTAAAGATACCCTTCTCCTTTCGAACTGCAAATCCCCATCGAATAATACTGCAAACGTTGCATGCGCTCATGCTGCAAAGGTTGGTAGATCCGTTGATTCCCAGACAGCACATGAAAGACGAACCGTAGAAACGTAGAAGTTCGTTTCCGTCCGCCAGACATCTTTCATGCTGCATACCTTCGTCGGCAGCTGCTTTCTTCACAGCATCACGGTAGTTGTGAAACTCTGAGATGTGCTTTTCGGTGTTGTCGATCTTGAGAATTCGCTCAATTCTGGTGCAGGGAGCCCCTTTTACCGACCAACTTGTCTTGAATATGATCTCTATCACGTTGAGGGACGAATTTCCGCTTCCAAGCTCCGAGACTGTGGGCACAGATACCCACTTCATATCAGACTACAAGTAGGAAAGCCCACGATACGACAGTCATGTACCTGGACTCATGTGGATATAACTCCTTATCATTCCCTCAAATAACCACATGCATGGATCGAGGTATCGCATTGCAGACTCAGAAAGCACGAGTGTCGGGCCAGCTGATACACAAACCACGGATTGAGGTAGAAAGGATAATAGAGCCATGTCATTACAGAATAAAACGAATCACATCTGTAAATATTAATGAGTCATGCATTAATCTCATGACCTAAGAGGCAAAAAGTCGTCCCTACATGCAGAGACTCGAAAAAGGTAATAATCGTTTTGAATGGCATTCCGTGTAGCGGTGTAAGAACACGAGGCAACACCTAAAACAACAGAAGCTGGGACGAATGATCGTCTATCTCTGTCGGTAATTTAATAGACTCTCAGAGATTAGAAACTACTACCAGGCGAAACCTCAAGGGGCAATTGTTTTCAACCCAAAACGTTAAAGAAATGCTTAAAATCTAACATTTGGATTCATGTTAGAGGCAGGGAGGAAGACTTCCGATTTATAGTCACACATGTTCAAGGCACGAATATCAAGGAACTTAAGAATCATACCAGCATGACGGACGACTTGATGCAGCTCTAGGGCCTCAGGCTTGAAAAACGCCTCTCCACATTTCGGGCAGAAGCACTTGGGAGAAAGAGAGCCATGATGTTGAGGATCCCTCGGGAAAATCCTACCACCCCCTGGGTTGCAATGCTTGCTGCACTCGCAACACCCCTTCACAAGACATAGGTTCTCCTTGGTACTCACATCAATGTTTACCAGCTCCCTTGAGGTCCTAGTTACCTCTTGTGCACTGCCGAAGCTGTTCTGTTTCCGAAAGGTCCTGTTCGGTTTCGACTGGAGAGGTGCACGATACATGTAATCCCCATTCTTGGTCTGATGGATATACGATTCGTTCTTCGGAGGGCTGGCGCAGGAGGAAGAATGTGAAGAAGATTTGCTACTGAGCAACGAACTGTTGCCTTGGAGCATTTCTTTCAAGTTGGCAATGCTAGGAGTACAACCTTGCGTACAGCCATAGCGGCGTGGAGGGGACTTCGAATGTTCACCCCTGAGCGGTGTCGACGAGAATGAACCGGAACGAGACTCGTGGGATATCTCCGAGCCTGAATCAGACTTGAAAGTTATTGACTTGGCTTTGAAGGAAATGGACTTGGCCCATGAGAAGCAAGGGCCAGGCATTGTAGGTCAGCTTCAATGAACTATCTCAGACCCGACAAAGAGTAACAGCCATTTGCTGCCTTCACAATAAGAGGACTGCTTCCACGCGCAACCGTCCGAGACGCTTCACTGAGCGCATCCACTCTTACTTCCTGGTGTTCAACGCAGTGTTGGTGATTCCTGCAAGTGAAAAAGTAATTCCTTCGAAAACTTCAATGCCCAGTTGTATGTTGGGATTATACATTCGTTCGTAAACCTTTCGAACTAGAATCCCGCTTACTAGAGTTCTAGCAGAAGTGTGAGGATCTTGAAAGTTCCTTCAACAGACCAGTGTCAAAAATCTTCTCTGGCACAATTGTCCAAGGACATCACGTTCAAAGAGCAATGCAAGAAGTTACCAGAAAGCTCTCATTGAAAGATCTGAGAACAACAACCGAATTTTAGGCCTTCTCTGCCGGATAAAAGAAGCGTCTGCGACGTCCAGGCCAAGACACTTCAGAGTTGAAATAAGCTGTTCACTGCATTACGTGATCCACGACTTCTGGAGAATGGGACATCAGCCTTTCACAGAACACACCCTCTCGCAATCAGGGAGGGGAGAACAATACCGAAAGAAGAATCCACGAAGAGATCTACACAACAACCGTCACCGCGCCGCTCCAAAAAAAAGTCCAAACTGAACCGTTCACCTGCTATCCACCGGGACCCAATCACAAACGCCTCTACACCAGAATCCAACAATGCTTCGAGTGCTAACAAGCACCATCAATCAGGAACAAACCCACACGACGGCCTCGCGGTTCAACACAAGGTGTATGACTATGAACAAACCCGCCGGCGCTACAGTGCTTAGGGACACTCGAAGAGGATCACATCTCGAGCCCAGTGCAAGTGGTCCAGGTTCATCAAAAGCGCCGCCAAAAAGACGCACACGCCTTAGTTCGTCTCACTCTCTTTCCCTCTCTCTCACACATACACGCACACTCACTCCTGGCTTCCTCAAATTTCCCCGCCCTTAGCAAGCTGCACCACACTCGCATGGCGAGCGAGAAGGAAGGAGCTCCAAACCCACAGCCGAACAAAATCAAACGGAACCGGGACCCACACACGAACCCAATGCCATCCTTTAATTACACCTTGCCTGGGAGTAGAGCATGATGACCCCTTGGCATCTGATGACGAGGCAGCGAAGGAAACTACGATCGAGCGCACGAAGCAACGAACGACGGGGTCAGGGGAAAAAAAGGAGAACTGCGTCCTGCAAAATTAGACACTCATCGAGTGTGAGGATGCTAGTATTCTGCGGTGGTCTACATTTGGGTGCGGATGGAAACAGCCAACTCCCCCTGGAAATAGCGCCGCGTGGGATGTGCATGGGAAGCACCCCCGATCCGCAGGTTGTAAAATTTGCGACGCTTTTAATGGAGTGGGTGGGGGCCGCGACACTCCCAGAACAACGACGACGACGACGACGAAGAAGACCAAGACGAAGAATGAGGTACGCACCTGATCCCCCACTCTGCCTTGCAATTTGCTTTCTATTCGTTCCGAATATGGATGATCATCCCTTCCTCCCGTGGATGAATGTATGGCGAGGCACTGAGTTCTATTCACGTGAGTTATAAAGATTGTCCTTGATTTAGCCACCTCACCCCCCCCCCATCAAAAAACCCAACACTCTCCACAGTGAAAGGCTATGTACCCCCCTCCCTTATTTGTCAAGGCCTTACAGCCCTAATGGGAGTGTGGGTTATGAAACTCGCAGAGGCAAAGGGACTTGAAGCTCATTCCTTCATCCTTAATGAATGGAATGTAGGGGGGGGGGAGGAGTGGGATTGCCAATATGGGCTCACAGGTGTGCAATTTGCAAGGGAGATATTTGCACGTGGGGAGAAGAAAAGATGGGTGTTCATGAATTAGAATAGTAGTGGGTACTAAATAAGGCAAGTATGGCTGCTGGTGGAATATGCTTTTCTTATTACTTTGAACTTGTACAACGGTAGTTTGACCTGTTTGGTTCTATTACAAGGGGACTGTGTTTCACAGCATGGACTGTGCCAGTGAAGCCACCTATCTTTCTTACCTGGTCACACTTGCTGATGATGAGATTATAGGGCCATAGGTCCATTCCCCATTACCAGCATCTAGCAACTTTTAGGCCTGTGCCAGAATCCAATGTGGGAAAGCCAAAAGCTTGTTAGGTTTAAAGTAGAGGTAGAGAATTTTAATCTCTTCTTCTTTGTTGCCAATATTTTCAATGATAATAACAATGATACAAGACATATGTTTTGGTGCATGAAAGGGTTCACATTTTTATGTCCATGCATGACATGGGTATGTGTTTGAATTGAGGAGTGCTTGCTCAGCCCCAACAACACATTTCATTGCTGTATATTTTCTCTTTTTATTTGTTTATTTTGATTTATCTTGGACCACATGAAGGAAGGAGCTGATGTGCCTAAGAGGTTGATTTGAAATTCTGTGCAGCATATAACTACTGTGCTGATGATGATAATGATAATGCAATGGCACCCATCTATAGAACGTATGTAATGTTGTGGTGACCCTACTATTATGATCCTGTGATAAAATACAAGACAAAGAAAATCCAAAAATGAAGTGATTATGTAAAAATACAAAACATTCATTTGACTTGCAATTGAACAATGCTTCATCTAAAAAAAATCATCAAAATCAAATGTTGGTAACAAATCTCATTTTTTGAAGATGATGATTTTTACATAATTAGGGTGTTGCTAATGCCATCACATATTGTTTTGCTATTGCCACCATAACTTGCCACTCATTGCAAGTTATCGTAATTTTTGCTAATGCCACCACAAGCTGCCCTGAACTTGTGTTACACACCCCAATGCATATTGAATTTCATTCTGTAGCACATCACAATGTTTTTGTCATATGCAACACAAGTTTAGAACAACATGTGATGACATTGGCATAAATTATACCCTTTCACACAGTTATATCCTGTTTTTGAAAATGGTGCCGTGCCATGACCCGCTTTTAGCCCCACCCGTCGCTTCTCTACCGCTACCCTATATTCTCGTCCTATACGGATCCTATACTGCATATCTCACCCCCTTGATTTTGTACGAATACAACTCTACACAGTATCCATATCAACATCTGCGCAAGTCCTAATCGGCCAGGTCACGAAATAGTGGGCTCGTGAGTTCCTTAGCACAAGTTGGGGAGAGGTCAGGATAGCGTGATACTGTGGAGCGATATCAAATGGGGCACCCCTCTGCGCGGTATGAACAGAACGGTACCGGATTAGACTCACCGTATGTGATACGTAGGATAATATCCACGAGGAGTCAATGTGGGATAAGACGGGTCAGCACCAATGGGATGTGAGCGTGGAGCCATGCCAGGTGGGATCAGGATACGCCTCGGGAATTCAGGCCACGTGGAGGGGTCCTTCGTGGCAGAATGGATCGGAGCCAGACGGGTAATACGATTTTCTAGAATATTCTCCAGCTGGCACCTTTCTTTGTGCTGTGGAGTAAATGAGAGTCCAAGTCAGCGTCACTGGCGACCACGTCAGCTTGACTTCCGCTGCCACATTTATGACAGCGTGGCATTGTGGGATTAATGTTCAGTTCTCACGTTTCATCGTGGTTAGTCTTCTTATTAATTAGTCGGCATTAACGGTTGTTAGTAATGGAGGCAATGAAAACCACAAAATTTCGATCCATGCTTGGAGGAATTTATGAGCTACCACTATAAAAATTTAATAAATATATGAATTAAGGTGCCTTTCCGATTGAGGTGGAAATCGGCTGATTGTTGTATTGAATTCGTCTTGGCAACAATTATCATTTCTTTTTAATTAAAATCATCCATTTGAAATTCCTTTGGATTGAAATATGTACAATTTTCACTCAAACTTTAACCTATCTTGAGAGGACATTTGATTTGATTTTACTGTGTGATGTTTTGATATATCAAATAAGTTTGTTCCATTACAACTTCTGTGAAATGAACTAGAAGCTGGCTACACGACGATCATAGCTTTGATGTCCGTATATACATATATATATATATATATATACTCTAAAGGTAAGGAATAAGAAGTTTCAATATTGAACATATCAGATAGGTTCTTAAGTTGTATCTGACTTATCAAACATAAAATTTAATCTTCAAATTATTTTATCTGATCTTACTTTTGTTTTTAAGCACAAAATTATTGAATGCAAATCTAATCCAAGGAAATATAGTCTATTGAACTAATTTAGTTGAATAAAGAAGAGAAATAATTCAGCTCCAAGCAAAACTAATGGTAGGTCAGGAAAAACACTACCTTTTAGAATTTATGCATTAAGAGTTGTTGTGAAGTAATGGAGGAAGAAAAGAAAAAAGGCAATACAATGTTTGTGGATATAAAGAGATAGAGAGAGAGAGGAGAGATAAAGAAAGAGAAGAGATGTAAGATCTTGCAAAAGTATGCTGGAGAAAAAGAAATTGAGCATGATAACATGAAATAATTGAATTACACAATAATTCAACAAAAGCTTGGAGTAGAGACAATTTCTTTGAAAGATATGCGCTTGTAACTGTCAAAACAATTATTGTACAGCACAGAAGTGTTTTTGTTTCAGAATGTGTTTTGCTGAAGTCATTTTGTACACTTGAATATTATAAATCTATGAGAGGAGTGAGAATCTAAATTTTCACTTAAAAGGATAAAATAAGAAACACATTTGATTATATAAAACCAATAAGAAACCACACATAATCTTACAAAATTCTAAACTGATTAATTAAAATATATATATATATATATATATTGATTCACTCATTTTTAGGATATAAGTGGTAAGTCTAAAGATATATATATGTACTCTACAAATAATACAAGCAAAGGTATTGGCAAGAAAAGAACAAGAGTCATTGAAGAACAAATGTAAATGAATAAGAATGTTCAATACTAGAACTTATAATACAACATGGAAGGAGTGCATAATATTAGGATCTATAGCAACACTAAATACTACTATTTCAATATGAAGAAAGTAGAAAGAATCAAACTTAAGGTTTTCTAAGAACACTACTATCTTCATAAGGGAAAACTAAAATTATTTTGTGTATAATATCATTAATTTTGGATTAGCAAATACTTTATCTATTCTTTTTTAATTTTTAAAAAAGAAAATAAACTTCAAAGTTTTACTAATCAAAAAAAGTACTATTATATACTCTAAGAATATAAAAGAACATGAATAATTTGTTTGCTTTATATTACAAAACTCAAAGATATGCAATTCAACTTTAAGTTCAAATAATCAATATTTCATACTAATCAAGTAGAATCTTGGCATAAACCATATAAAGTAATAGTATATATATATATATATATATATATATATATATCTATATATTATCTATTTAAGAGATTCTGAAATTAAACATTGTAATTTATGATGTTCAAATTTGTTTTAAATATAATTTTTAGTTAATATTTTAGTCATATGTTTAATTCATAAAATAAAACTAAAGATAAAATGTTCAAAATAAAATACTAAATTATCAGAAGTAAAGAAATTATTGATTACAACTCATATTCCATTTTTTTTTTTTTTTTTTTTTTTTTTTTTTTGGGACATTTTCAAAAGCCATTTTGAATGAAATAATCAATTGATTTCTAGATTAGGTGCAATTTTATTGTATTTAAAAATTTGATCCAATTTTTTAATTTTATTTATTTATTATTATTATTATAATTTGAAAAAATAATATCTCAAAATAAAATAATAAAATAATAAAATAATAAAATAATAAAACTAACAAAGAATAAATTCTTACATTTGTTGATTTATTTGAAAAATAATATTATCATCTATAATGCACTTTTATTTAAAATTTAGGATTTAAGCATAATATTTTATTTATATTTCTTTTTAAAGAACTTTAAGTATTTTATAATAATATTTTATGTTTTAAATATACATTTAAAAACATATTTTTTATAATTCATTTTAAACATTTCATATTTTTCTACAAAATATTATCATACTAATTTCATATTAGAAGCTTTATAGACATAGATTTGACTTTGTACGTGTTTGTAGGTGATTGATAGGTTTAAAGCTTAGCCAATAAGTTGTCTACGTGTCACACATGTTAATGACTTGTGGTACATGTTGATTATATAGCACACCTATAATAAGTTTGTTTCACAAGTTAGTCATATGTTGGAGTTCTTATAAAACATTGCTATATAGATTTTAATTATATAGTATATATGGTGGCAAGAATGAGGCCTTTTTTACTTTTGCCATTGCCTTTCTTATACTTACTTTTGTTTCAAGAGTCTCTAGAC